CATGGACCACTTCCCCCAAGTGCCGCAACAGCGGAGAGGAACCACGCAACCGAGAAAAACAATCACCAACAATTTTTTAAGACATCAACACCACGCTACGGCTGGGTGGGGCATCCTCTTCCACGCAGACGCACGAGGTTGGCGGGCGCGCACGTGCAGCCGCGTGTGTGTGAGAATGGTGACCTCTGGTTCCTGCACGGCAGAATCAATACTGATAAGCCGCTCACTGTGCAAGCACAAGAGAGCCACCCGCTCCCTCAAAGCTCTGAGCAAATGAGCGTGTAGGTGGGGTAGCGGGGGGGGGACTTGCCAAGTGCCACCCGGTCACCACCGTCCAACTCCCGTTGTTGATATTAGCCAGCTTTAGTGGGCAGTGCGCCCTGACCCATTAATTAAACAAGTACTATGCCCCCTTTTGCAAGGCAGCACACGTTTGAGGTCGATCTGCCTGCTACGTTGCTGAAACTCGGAATGGAGACACACATACTGTACTCCAGTAAAGACCTCCAGATTTTGTAGTGCAGAGGACCCATAAACTTGTAAAGCCCTTCCACCGAGACCCCAATACAGACATACTGAGAGACCAATACATTCATTAAAAAAACCCTTTAAACTTAGATGCCCAAACTTCTTACATCGAGGTGCAAAAACATATATAAACAGATGATCTTTAAATTATTATTTTTATTTTTTCCTAAATAGAAATGTTAATACGGTTTTCCCTGTTTAACTGATTTCGTATACAAGTGATGTAAATGTTGTGGGCTTTTGCGCTAATTTATTTAGCAACGTTCGCTTGTTCGTGCAAATTATCAGTGGCTTCTTGCTGCGCCCCGCATTTGTTTAAACAGCAAATACTTTCTGCGGTTAGTGCCGTCGTCAGTGGCGAGCCCAACAACAGCAGAGAGATCACTGTACGATCAATGTCTCTGCAGCAGAGGTAGGAGGAGGCCTCAAGCATATGGCTTCAATTCCCCACCACAGCCAAGGGATCAAAACACAAGCCGTGATGTTTTAAAAAAAAAGAGAGAAACAAAAAGGAAAGATGAGAGTTGGGGGACGGTGGGGTGTGGGTGGGGGCCAGGGGGGGATGTCAGAGGACAAGAGGGAAAGAAGACAAAGATCCCCCGTGCAGCCTTAACAGACTGTTGGGGCACTTATTAAGGCCGGCACTACACACACGAGGGGGTGGGAGGCCAGCACCACGCCTGACCGTCTTCGTCTCCCTAGTGACGATGTTTACACACAGCACCAGGTACTCGTTTTGAGGCCGAGTAGACCTCGGGGAGGCCTCGGGACCGGTTCAGATAATCGTCACTGGTGTTGGCTGTGAGCGGGAATCGAAGCAGGGTTATAGTGCAGCGCGCTACCACTCCCCACAAGAGGGAAAGAAGCGCACACACGTACAGAATCGGCGCCAGTGGTGGCAAAGACTTGCAGCCAGTTCCTGGCAATGCTCAATCCCCGCCGCAGAATCTCTTAAGAGAAAAACGCGCTCGCAAGAGACACTCGTGAGAAAGCTGCATGCCAGCCCCAATCAACTCCCAATGCCACATCCACCTATTATAATACTCATCATCGTCCTCATCAGCCCGTGATTAATCCACTACTGAATGAAGGGTTCCCTCTGCTCCCCCTCCCACCCCACAAGTCCGCGCATGGCCGGATTCGTGGCCGCACTGCCACCTTCTGGCAATCACAGGGCAACAACAGTCGGGGTTTGAGAGTCGTGCTGAAAATCATCTCGTCCACCGGATCCTCGGCCTCCAGAGTTGCTGGCTTACGAACGTGCATCGACACCGTTCACGTACGCCTCGCCGAACCCTTCCCAAGGAAAATCGTCTGATTTCAGGCCATCACTCTTATTTTGGACCAATGTTAATCAGGATAGGATAGGTTGTTCAAGCAGTCACGACTCTTGGGCCGGTTTTGACATGTTCGAGTCTCATCAGCAGAGTGTGGCCCGTAACAAACGCTGCTGAGTTTTGTCGATGTGATTTAATAGGGCAAAGAGCCGCCCCCCCCTGCCCCCCACAATCAGCGCAGTATAGTGAAATAGCAAAAATAAAAAAGGGCCCTCTTGTTTGAACTGCGGGTAACAACAATTATTTAAAACCCGCTGAAAAACACTGCTTCAGAAGGCTAACAGACTGACGGACCTACAGGCCATTTCATTCTTTTGGTGGCGAGACAAAACCTTCGTCTGTTTTTACTTACAGGGGGCGCCACAGTGGCGAGATGTTAACTACCTCGCCTGGAATGCAGGAGTTTGTGAGTTCAATCCCGACCCTGACACCTGCTGTATATTTACAGTTTGCATGTCTCTCTCTCTCCCCGTGGTCACGTGGATTTTTTTCCGGGTCCTCCGGTTTTTCCCTCCCCATTTAGAAACATGCGTTTAGAGCATTTGGCTGCTATAAATTTCCACACGATAGAGCCAACTTCGTTGAGCTATCATTTGTGGCCAGGTCGCTTCTGAAAAAGAGCTGTACAGCTCAGTGGGCGTTACCTGGAAAAACAAAAGGAGTTAAGTTTTTTTTGTAAGTAGCTTAGCTTCACTTATCATTCACTGCATCCCAGCTACAATGGAAAGCAACCCATGAGAGAGACTTGGCGACCAAAGCACTGCATCGGCCCCACTTCGGAACGCTCCTCTTGATAAAGGGGATCTTCTCTCCCGTGGCATCGGCTGAAACGGCGAGCGTTGTCGTCGTCGTCGAAGGCTCAAGACGAGCCGTTCACGTAGCCTACACATACAAGAGCCTTCTTCGCTTACAACACGCATCGCCAGCGAGACGGTGGGGGGGGGGGGGGCAACGTGGAAGAGGGGCAGTCGCATAAGGACAAGCATAACAAGGCTGGAGCCAGCAGGACTAGTTACCTAGGCGTGTTGCCATGTAACGAATGTTCGACGGAATAAAATTTTTATACGAGCGGTGGGGCGGGCGTGAGTGTCTGGGGTGCGGCGCGTGCGCCCGTGCCCGTGCGCCCGTGCCCGTGCGTGCCCACTGCTGCGCACAGCCGAGCGATGCTGCGCCGCCCGTCTTCCCCATAAACACAACGGCACATCGCACAGCACGCAGCGCACGCAACGTACACACAGTACACATACGCGCATGGTAACCAAAAAGCACGAGCACGCGCACACACAAGATGGAGCATCACACTACACACACAACATACGCACGCACCACACGGGGCGCACGCACACGTACACACACACAACGTGAAACGTGACACCACACGTAACATACATCGTACGTACCAATCTGGACTAGCGCACCACTCTGCACACGCCAAACACACAATACAGCTTAACAAGCCACACACGACACACCTGTTTACACGCGTGCGCGGGAAACATGAGCGAGTGTGCACGTGTGTTCGTGCGCAGAGTTGGGGAAGCGGTTAGTGTGGTGGTTAGCTCGCTGAAATACTAACCCGGCGACCCACGTGCGATTCCCAGCCACGGCCATCATCGGTGGCGATTATCTGAACCGGCTCTGGACCTCCCCTAGGTGTTCCTCAGCTTTTAAATGATCACCTGGTGCAGTGTGTAAAACATCAGCACTTGGTGAGGCAAAGGCGGCCGGGCGTGGCCACGCCAACCTGCTCATGCGTCATGCCAGCCGCAATCAACAGGCGCTCGCCGACAGTAGTTGCCCCAACAGTCTGCACGGCTAGAGGGGAGATATTTGTTTTTGTTTTTGTGCACAGCGAGGAATGCGGGTCGTGCAACTGCCATTCACCCCGATACGTGAACCCGCAACATCTGATCTGCATCTGTCCCACGCATGACCTCCTGCCAGCGAGGCCTACACCACTTGAAGCTGCTCAAATGGGCACCTAGCCTGGCACGTGTTTCGTGCTGACGGCATGAATACTTAAGTGCGTGCGTGTGAGCATGTGGTGGGAGTGGTGGCACAGTGAATCACGCACTGCGCGAAGATCACGGTGACCCGAGTTCAATTCTCAACAATGTACAACATCATTGGCCAGAGTGACCTCATTCTGCCCTGGGCCTCCCTTTGGCTGACTCGGGCTCAAGTGATGCGACGGTGGGGAGACAAAGACGGCTGGGTGTGCACAGTGCTTGCCGTACCAACTCTTCGTGCGCCATGCTCAATAACAGCACTTGCCCCATGTCTACATTAAGGCTGTGTGTTCGCGTGTGTATGTATGTATGTAGATGTGTATGTGTGGGTAGTGTAGCGGTTAGCACGCTGTGCTACGAACCCGGCGATACGGCCAACACCAGTGACGACTATCTCAACCGGTTCTGCACCTCTCCGAGGTCTCAATGAGTACCTGGTGCGATGCGTAAACATCGCCACAAGGAAGACAAAGGCGGCCGAGTATGGTGCTAGCCACCCACCCCCTCGTGTGCCGTGCCAGCCTTCATAGGTGCTCGCTAACAGCACTTGCCCCTACAGCCTCTTAAGGCTATACAGGGAATCTTTGTCTTTGTAGATGTGTATATGCGGGTATTTAATATGTATAAGAGCGTTGACATACGTGTAAGTTTGCGCAAGTGCATGTGTGCGCATGCGCGCAACAACGGAGGGAGGAGGACTGATGGTCACAACAACGAGAGGAGCGCCGGCTGTCTAAAACACAGCAACTTGGCACACAGATGGTGCGTCTGCCAGTCATCTCAGTCAGCTGTCCCATAACACCCGTGTCTGTCAGTGGACCTTCAACATTTCCCATAGCCTCAGAGTACACCTGGCTCTGGTACAAGCACTGTGGTGATGTCACCGCCAGTGGAAAATAGCGGCTGTTGTTGTTGTTGCGAATGCATGTGCCTGTGGGAAGCACAGGCGGTCCACCTGCCTGTCATTTCAATCAGTGAACCCATAACGCCTGGGTCCATGCCCGTGACCTCCTGCTAATAGTGGAGCCTAGCCTGGCACAAGCGCCGTTGCTTTGCAGATGTACGTTAGCGCGTACGTATACTTGCGTGCGCGCGAGCGTATGTATGTGCGCGCGCATGCCCTTGCCTGCGCAAGCGCCTCCTTCATGGCTCCCCAGTTGGAGACCCTCCAGGCGCAGTCTAGCACGAGGTGGGGGTTCACGTGGCCCTTGGCCTGCCCGTACTCCGTCAGCGCCTCCCACTGGTTGAGCTCCTTGCAGCAGCTGCACGCGAGCACAGGGGAGACACCAATTCGAATAGGAAAAGGTAAAAGGTACAGCCCTGGAATAGCTTGCTCCCACCACCACTGGTGGAAGGACCTCCGCTAACTAGAAGCCCTAGAGGTAGCCCTGTCGAGAGTTTCTGGCCCTTCGAGTGATGTGCCCTACCCAAGCCCACGTACTTTCATCATCAGTTTGAATGATGTCACCAACCTGCCTATGTTCTCTAGTCCGTCTGTTCCTCTTTCTGTTCATGACTGAACATCTGACCTATATCTCACAGCAAGTAATACTACACCCCAATCCATCACCAAGAGGGGGACTTTTTTTGGTATCTCTACAGCCAGGCCGTAATCAATCTACTGCTAGATGTATGCCTCTTGGTAGACGTGGGAGTACACAACCTTTGTCACATATACAAATGTTTAATTTGAGAACTTCTCATCAAGAAGGAGGTGGCCGGGTGGATTGTAGGTCACTCAACTTGGATGAAAGCTTGAGTATTATCTCCTTGTATTTATGGGTTTTCTCCACGCAAGCTTACTCCCCCCCCCCCCCCCACACAACCTGATGGTCAACAAAAACTAAACTGGCATATCGTTAAATACTTGGGACACGGCACAATTTAATGTTTGACTGTGTCGGGTGGTCGGAGATTCTCACGAATGACGTTGGGCCAGATCATGAACGTAGCCCAACCCAAAAATCAACAACAATGAATGAGACTGATCGTCTTCTTGCGTAAATGGCATCATCATCATGAGGATAATGACAATGATGATGATGTTGTCTATGAGAAGGAGGTGCTCACCGAATCCAGTGTTCCTCCCACAGCTGGTACTCGGGGAAGACAGAGGGGGAAGCGTTCCCCTTCTCGTGCTCTTTCCTCGCATGCTCCATCGCTTTCTCGTACATCTCCTGGGCCTGCGGGCGAGGAGGACAGAGAGCCAAGCGTCAGCCAACGTCCGCGTACCGTCACCACGCTAACTCCGGTCATCCTCGCATTGGCGGTGGCTTTTGGCTCAGCCATCGAACAAAGACGGTCGCCGCATCGTGCGCTTTCAGATGCGTTGCTGGAGTTATGCATTTTAAAATCATCTACATTGAAAACTAATTTATTTAGAACTGCTTTTTGTGTTTAGCTTGTTGTCCTTCGCCCTGTACCTCCGATTAACTCCATTGGCTATGTACGGTGCAAAAGAAGTTCAACATACATACATATATACGTCGGGCCTTTCACCTGTCCAGTCAATCATTCCATCCATTTATGGGCATCCTCTCATTCTTGTGCGTCCATCTGTCCATCCACCTAGATATTCATCAGTCCTATCGATCCTTTAATTCATCCATCTCTGCCCATCCATCCATTACATTTATTCATCCACCCACTCATTCATTTGTCCATTCAAACATCCATTATCCTATCTATCCTTTAATTAATCTAAAAGCACTGCACCCATCAACCCAAATTATCTGTTTATACCATCCATTCATTGCTCCATCCATGTGTTTATCCGCACGAGTCCTAACGCTTCGATATGGCCCTCAAGCAGTGACACAAGTTACTGAGGTGTGTGTGCGCTACAAACCTAGCGACCCAAGTTCAATTCCTGCTCACGACCAATACCAGTGACGATTATCTGAACCGGGTTGGGCCTCCCCTAGGTCGACTCAGCCTCAAATGATTACTTGGTGCGGTGCATAAAAACATTATCGCTAGGGAGACAAAGGCGGCCGAGCGTGGTGCTCGCCGCCCACCCCCTGGTGTGCCGTGCCGGCCTTAATAGGTGCTCGCTAACAGCGCTTGTCCCAAAAGCATGTTAAGGCTACACGGGGGTTCTTTGTCATGTGTGGTTGTCCACCAAGCTGTTTGAAAGTCCTCGGTAAGGAAGAGTCTCCGCTAACCCCTTGATCTCATCCATCCATCCATCAATCCAGGGCAGAATCCATGACTCATTAGGGTGTGCCATTTTGGCTCAAACTGTCCGGCAAGTGTGCTGGAACGATAGCGACTCTACACACCCAAAGACAACAAACGGCTTAGAGCTCTTGTGGAGAGGAACGGCGACACCTAACTTTCCACCACGGACTCTGGGGTCGTCAGCTGAGAACAGCCCTCTGACTTTTTTACTTTTTCAATCACTAGATGTTATAATAATTTAAAACCTCAATGCAAAAAGTTTCCCCCACATCCGCGTGGCATCACCTGCTCAAAGAACCCGTGCTGCTCGTAAGCGATGGCCGTCGAGGTCTCGGGGAACTTGTAGCGCTTCTGCCAGAGTCCTGCCCACATGTCCTCCTCCTGCAGCTGGGAGTAGAGCTCCGACAAAGAATCCAGAATCTCCTGCATGACACACAGCGTGCATGTGCGTGCTGTCAGCCAGAGGGCACCCGTCGCGTGAGGGGGTGTGGACTTCACGTTTTTGGATTAAGCCAGGGGTGGGCGACCTACGGCTCAGGAGCCTGCGGCTCTTTTAAGGTCCACTTCTTAAAGACGTGACGTTATTTATTAAGGAGCAGAGCCACTCGTGTTCGTGTGTATTGCGGCTCTTGAAATATTGAGTTGTTTTACCGAATTCGGAAAAAATGTCTCTTCTTGTTATTTTGTTTCTGACCCCCCTGGATTAAGCAGGAAAAAAAAAAACAACAGGAATAATCAGGACTGAGCAATTAAATTTGGACGACCTGTCAACTGGATGTGAGGTCACATGGCCGCACTTCACACGCCAAAAATGGCATCACGCGATACGTCGGCTGACGTCGTGCTTACATAAGCAATATGAACGTGTAATCCACACGAAAAATACATACTAAGTTGAAGTCTAAAAATAAAAACAAACAAAATATCTACCTGAAAATCATCACGAGGCTTTCCCATTTAAAAAAGGCTCCAAAAATTAAAATAAATTGGTTAAATAAATAAAAAATACCTGCTGCGGCGGCGTGATGGGGTCCTGCTGGTAAACATCGCCCGTGGCGGCGGTGGAGCGCGGCTTGATCTGCAGGCCCAGCCCGGGGCTCTCGAGCGCCTGCTGCTCCAGGCAGAGGGCGGCGCGCAGCCACAGGTTGTGCGTCTTGCCCAGGTGCTTGAGCAGCACGGGCCGCAGCGGCACGGCGGGCGTGCAGTGCGTCACCGCCTCCAGGAAGCAGGCAAGGGCGCTGGGTTGGCAGTCACGTTGCACCTGGTGGCTCCCGCTGCACAGGAACGGGCCCAGCTCTCCCGACAGGGCCTGTTGGAGGGGTGGGGTGGCGTGGATCGGTGGGTGGGTGGGTGGCATGGTGGGGTGGGCAGTGTCCAGCACATTCCAGGTGACATGGTCAATTAAATTGTGTTTAATTACGCTTATTTAACCAGGAGAGCCTCACTATTTTTCAGGAGGGCCCTGCCATGTTTCAAACTTGGCAAACTCGGACCGTGACACTGGCAAGCCATGGTCTATTCTTGTGATTGACATCAAGGGATATTTAATGTCCACTGTGAAGCAGATGGCTCGCAGTATTATTTTTAATGTTAATTCACCCGCAGTATTAACCAGGGCGGCAGCTGGATTTGAACCGTGAACCTCCGCTGGGCCATATCACCATCCCAAATGCTAGTATGCTGCTGAACGAGGCCCTCCCCCCCATGTCGTGTGGGCCATTGGGGTTGTTTGGCCATACCTCACCACACTATCCAGTGTGGTTTGATGAAAGCTGGGAGCACAGACGATGGAGCAGAGAAAGCCAAATAACTGATTTTGCTGCAGTGCTGCCCTCTGCTGACAACGTAGCCATGCAGCAGCCTAGAAGGCAATTTGTGCAACGTGTTTGCCCATCCAAAAACTATCCAGGCTTAATTCTGCTTAGCTTATGAGACCAGAGATATCGGCCGCACCCCAGATGATTTAATCATGATTACGTGCGTTTCTGTTCGTGTGTGCAAGTCAATTAAAAGTGGCTTCAAGACTCAATGCGCTTTCATCCACTTACGCGACGATCAACCTTATCATCATAATTATTATCTAAGCAAGTCAACAGTAGATGCCCTATGGATACAATTATCCTTGCCATATGAATGTGGCCTTTACCCCACTAGCTATGGGCTGTAAACGGCATATAAGCAATGCCTCAATGCTCACCTGAGTAGGAAATAACTCTGTACCGATATACGTTAATGTGTGAAACCGACGATCGTTATGACCCGCCAATCAATTATAACACGGAAAAAAAACATATAAAAGTGATGTTATCGGAAATGGCCCTCCTTCATAGCACATAGGCATGGCCGCTGCACGAAACGTCGCTTATTATATATATTTTTTCCTTTAAAGGTCACGCAGCGCTATTGATGAATATGTTGTTCATTAATTGTGCACCACTGCCAACGCAGCAGCAGCAGCAGCAGCAGCGGCGGTTGCCAGATAATTCGTTGTTTACGAGCTGCCGTCGGTCGCTGGGCAACACGCCACTGTGATGATAAGCGCAGAGGCTTACGTGCTGCTGTCTCTCAGACAGTATCTTCCAGAGGCGGGGGAACAGCTGCACCCAAGTGCGCTCCGCCAGTGGGGTGCTGTTGTGGCACAGCTGCGCAAACGCCGTGAGCAGCAGCCCCGTCTGGAGGGAGGAAAGGCGCGCGCCCAGGCACGTACACACACGCACGCTCAGTACGCAAACTGAAACAAAATTCGGACGGCGCATTGTGCTGCCCAGGCACGTACACACACGCACGCTCAGTACGCAAACTGAAACAAAATTCGGACGGCGCATTGTGCTGCATCGGTCACGGTAAAGGTGGGGAGCACTGATGTAGGAGGCTAGAAGTGCAGTACAATAGATTTTTTTTTGCACTACCATCAACTGCTCACCACGTTGCTTTACAAGCCCCAACTGTGACAACCTTATCCATGCTCTGTTGCTTAGCTCCCAAGATTGGGCACAATTCTGTGCGATTTTGTCACAGGCAAAGGTACATTAGCAGGTGGTGTGCCCTGGACCGGTACTAATGTTAGCCGTGTCCAAGAATCAAACTCAGGTAGCTGGGTGCATAGTACTGTACGCTAACTACTGCGTCACCGATCCCCCAGAAGCATATACCCAATACACACAACACAAGCACGTGTACACGTACGCACGCACGCACGCACACACACACGTGCTCGAGTAGCTGGCTATATATACACAGCTCATACTGAAAGCCAGCAAAAGTGCACATGAATAAATTAGGAACATGCGAGAAACCCCAGCGGCGTTTGAGAACCAGAATCAGAGTGTGCACTTTTGGTGAACCGACGCAGACGTTACACGTGAAAAGGGGGCAGTCAGAGGTGACGGAGGTAGGAAGGAACGTTTGGGGAAAACCTAAACAGCTGGTTGACGTTTCGTTAGAAGATAGGGGCGCCTAGGCTATGTTCCAGACCGTCGATTACAAACCCCGTAAGATTGGCTAAAAGACACCGAAATTGACATTGAAAAGAGTTGTCTAGCGACATCAGCGAGGACAGATGGGGTTAGGGGCCCGTTGAAGGGGGTAAAGGCGCACGCGTGAGGCCTCACCTTGAGCTCCCTGAGCGAGTCCAGAAACTTGTCGTGGCGACTCGTGAGCAGGTGCAGCTGGTTGCCCACGTCTTTCTCTCCGTGCTCCTTCACCTTCGGCTGGTGGGCCTGGTCGCTCCCGGCCATGTCGATGTCAATGTCCACGTCCTGAGGTCCAACAGAGTAAAGCGAGCGCGCGCGAGTGCTTGGTGCGAGATTGCCACTTTGCGCGAGCGGTCCGTGAGAGAGATTGCTCCCCGTTACGGTAGAAACTCAACGCTCCCAATCGACCGGGGACTATGAGCATCAAAAGGCTACGACCAAGTCAATAAAGCTACAAAAAACGAGACACGCCAGACTATACAAACGTACACACTCACAAACGTACAACAGACACGCACAATCACACGAATAAGAATTAAAACTTCTATAGCGCCGTAACGTGGCTAATGCACAATCGCGCACTCGCACAGCACTATGCACGCGGGCACATACACACACATAATTCGCACACACAGGCATACCCAGCCACACAGACACACACAAGCCACAAGATAAAGATCCCCTGTAAATCCTGGAACAAACTGTTGGGGCAAGTGCTGTTAGCGAGCACCTATGAGCGCCTGCACGGTATGAGGGGGTGGGCTGGCCAGCACCATGCTTGGCCGCCTTTGTCTCCCTTGTGGCGATGTTTTCACACCGCACCAGGTACTTATTTAAGGCCGAGTAGACCAGCAGAGGCTCAGGATGAGTAAAAAAAAATTGGCCACTGTTATTGGTTGTAAGCGGGAATCAATCTCAGTTCGCCGGGTTCATATCGTGGTGCGCTAACCACTAAACTGCCGCTCCCCACCACACGTATACGCAGACACACACACAGCCCTACCCAGACACACAGACAAACACACAGCCGCACGCAAAAAAACACAGCCGTGCGCGCGGACGCAAAGCCACGCATGGCTGGGTGTGCGGTGCCAAACCTCGTCCTTGCTGTCCGTGCTCTCGCGCGGCTCCTGCTTGACGCGGCTGGCCATGGCGAAGGCGGCGCGGTCGTGGCTGTTGGCCAGGCTCACCACGTTGGTGATGGACGGCAGCGTAGAGCCGTGGCACGCTGTGCCCAGCGGTGAGCCGCGCTCGCACACCGCCAGCAGGAGCTGCGCGCCGTCGACACCACGGAGCCAACAAGCGGTGAGACACGGCACGGAAAGAGAACGGTTCTCGTGCGGTAGGAAGCAGGTATCCCGATGCTGTCGAGCTGTGATCCCAGGTCTTCCCTTTAAAGAGACTGCTGGTCTCGATAATGAAAAGTAGGCAGGAGGTGGATACAACCCACCAGGCACACGAGAGCAGAGCACCAAAATGTCCACACAACCCAGCTGCTTTACTGCCATCTCGAAGCCTATCTTACAGCCCACTCGGTTTTGTTGTTTCCCAAATGTACGAATCCACAAATGCCTCCGGGCAGGCCCGGACTTTAACATTGCCACGTCAGTCACTTCCGTCACAACAAGAGGCCTGGGCTATCTCAAAACGGTGACTGAGCAAGGTGTTAAAATTAGGAGCGCCGCGTTGTTCCCAGGTCGAGAATATTTCCCTCTACTACCCGATTAGTGCTGCAAAGATACTGGCAGTGATCGATATCATGGGTGGCCCATTGTGAAGCAGTAGGCCTCGTATGACCACCGGCTGTATTTGGCCCACTAGCTGTAAGTTCCCCCACGCCTGCCCTAGAGTAGAGGCCTTAAAGACACGGGTGGGGTCCCCTCGCTCATCACTTGAACACCATCAATGGGGGCTTCAGAAAGCAAATGACAGTTGGTGTGGATGCAGACACCAACAACCAATGCCCATTCAGCACACACAGTAAGCACAACTTCTTTATCGCTATTGGTTGCCGTGTATAAATTCAAATCGAGTAATTTTGCTTTGTAATTTTTCAAACAATGGATAACTTGGACGACGAGACCAACATGCAATGGCCTTACTCTTGCGAACGACACCACGGGATCTGCAACGTCTGCCGGGAAGCAGACGGCACACGTTCTTTGAATGGCTCGTACACCCACAGTATTCATCAGTAGCGGCCGTTTCATCCAAATAGTGAACCCCCCCACCCGCGCCTGCAATAAGCGGCAAACGTGCTCCAGCTGGGCCACGTCACCACCCCGGCGCGTATATCTGGGAGTGTAAACTAAACATTTTTTTATTTCACCAGTTAAGGCCCACTGAGCTACATAGCTCTTTTCAGAAGCGACTTGGCCACAAATTATAGCTCAAGAAGTGGCTCATCTAAACGCACGTTGTTTCTAAAATGTCAAGGGAAAAACCGGAGGACCCGGAGAAATATCCACACGACCACGGGGAGAGAAATGTAAACTCCAATATACAACAGGCATCAGGGTCCGGATCAAACCCACAACCTCTTATATACCGGCCGATGTGATTAACATCTCGCCACCACCAACCCTCCCCCCAGCATCGCACCTCGACGCACTGCTTGATCCAGAAGTGCAAGCCCATGGCCTCCCAGTTCTGCGAGCAGGATATGTAGAGCAGGCGGTCGTACACGCGCCGCCGCATGGACGTGTCGAAGACCTCAAAGAACTTGGCTCGCGTCTGGGGCTGCGGGCAACGCAGGCCGGCAAGGAAAGCCGGTTCGAGCCGCGCCGTCAGCTCGCTGCCCGCCAGACTCTCGTCCCTGCACGAGCAAACCACGCGGCAGCGGGGGCGCAGGGGGTGGGGGGAGGAGATAGGGGTTGGGGGTAGGTAAAGAGTTGGGGAAAATTTATGCACGAGCAACGCTGTTTAATATGCAATCGTGAACAATCCCGCACGATGGGGGACAACACGAATGACGATAAATTAACGCGAGTTCATCCGAGCGACATTTCATTCCGAGTCCAGTTCTCGGCGACAGCCAACGCCAGCGGGGAGCGATGTCTGAACCGTTCCGAGGCCGTCACCGACCAGAGTGGTGAAGTGTGGCATGGAGAGGCTCATTTACTGTAAGCGGCGTTGGAGCTTCACACTCATAACGCAACAGCTGGCTCACGCTCATCTCACCGATAGATGTGATTGACGAGGTCGAGGAATTGAGTGTTCAGGTCCAGGTCATCGGGGAAGCGTTTCTCCACGTACGTCATCATCTTCACGAGCAGCACTGTCTTCTCCCGCAGCGTCGGTGTCTGGAGAATGAAGGGAGAAGCGGCCGCGCAGCGGTTCGCGGACCGAGTTGTATGAACGTATGTTTATGTATGTTGAACTTCTTTCGCACAGTACGTAGCCAACCGTGCGAATTGGAGGCGCGGCGGAAGGACAACAAATTAAACACTAAAAGCGGTTCATTCCGTGGCATTCCAAGCCATGGACAACATTGATGGCGAGTGAAATCTCAATCAGTCCTGGACCTCCCCAAAGACAAAGATCCCCCGTGTAGCCTTAACAGACTGTTGGGGCAAGTTCTGTTAGCGGGCACCTATGAAGGCGGGGCTTACGAGGGGGTGGGTAGCCAAGCACCACGCCTGGTCGCTTTTATCTCCTGAGTGGCAATGTGTAAATATCACACCAGGTACTCATTGAAGTCTGAGCTGACTGAGGGGAGGTCGAGAACCGGTTCAAATTTTCGCCACTGTTATTGGTCGGGAGCGGGAATCGAACTCAACCTCTCCTCCCTCCCACCCATCCCCCTTCCTACCTTATCAACCTCCACTAAACTCAGTATGTTTAAATAACACCCACAGCATGGGGCAGCAGCCCAGCGACCCGAGTTTGATTCCCGGCCATGGGGAACATCCCCCACCACCTTCGCCAAACATCACGATGACAAACATCACACACGCCTGCAATGGCATGATGTAGCCTTCATCCAGTAGTTTGATTGACCAGTGGGGAAGTAAAAATATATCAATCAAAGTCACTGCAATAAAGGGAACCTGCACCCCAATTACAGCATTCGTGGGGTGCGTTCACAGTAATCACTAAGTGGTAATTAAACAACATTGGTCACTTGCTGTCAGCTGGGTTTTCTGTTTGGGGTTAAGTTACATTTTGTTGTTGTCATCAATTAACGCGCACGAGCGATTAATGTGAAGCAGAACAAATTCCCGCAGTGGTCGCAAATACCTCAATTTTTGTACAAATTATCGGGAGGCCAAGTATTTTTGTACCCCCCCCCCAATTATTATTTCGCTTGACTTTGACATGAGGTGTTAAAAATGACAACATCAGCCAGAAACGCGATGCCTAGACTGCAGCACCAACAACCGTAATTATCCAGCAGGACCATTAAAATTATCAATCTTAAACATGCGTGAAGCAACTTCCATTGTTTAATTACCCCGCGTGTTTGAACCACTTAGTTAATAACCTCGACGCAATTTTAATCAAGTGCCAATTTCCGCAGTGAACTTAACGGTTCAGCATTATAATGATGTTTTGTCAGGTAATCATCGCCAGAGGCATGCGGTCTCAAAAGTATACAATCCAATAACGATTATGAAAACAGCTCTTGGATAAAACATTTTTTTTTATCCCTGTTCCTCCACAGTTTGTATATCAATTGTGTTCTTGGTGTTGCGTCGCGAGATGAACATTCCGTTTGGATCTCTAGCAGTGCAGTCCGTCGTGTTAAAGAATGATCCGTGGAAGCGGATATCACAGAGCTACCTCTGAGATCACGACCGCTCGTTCACAAAGTAAGGTGCAGCATCTTCTTTGGTTCTTTCGGTAAAGTCACGTAGAATGAGAATAAAATAATAAATTGATAAAATAAAATAACACAATAATATTCTCACGACGTTTCGGCCACAACACAAGCGGCCTTCATCAGGTGAAGGGAGCGAGACTGTCTGGTAGGACAGCACTTTACCATCCTCTCAGACACCAAGAATAGTGTCTGTCGCAACGACAGGCAAATGGAAATATTTTTCATTTTCAGAGGGTATAATTTTTATTAAATTTAAGTTCAGCACCAACTGTAATGCGTTGTGCAAGAGTAACACTAGCACCCCGAGCCCGGTGGGGGTGGGGGGGGGGAGAGCCACATGCCCAGCAGAGCGCATGTTTACGCCAATCGTCCGTACAGGTTTCCCTCACTTTGTGCGGTACTTTCGCAAAAAAAGGGGCACAAAGTAAAACCGCAGGAGACAGCTGCCTGCCCCGTAGCACGCACAGTACACATCTAGCAGATGAAGCTTCTCTTCTATACCCGGAGGCTTGACACTTTTCGTGAATTAATTTAACATCAACATCGTATGACGACGTTTCACCGAAACTGCTTTGAGCTTCATCAGGTGGTGAAGCTCTGAAACTCAAGTGCGCCGCTTCGTTTTGAACTTTCATATGTAACAATTTCAACCCCTTAAACCAGCACAATATTCACTCAATGCCGACGAGGCACAACGACTTAGAGGCACGCGATATCACAGACAAGACGGAAGGCAGCCACGCAGTGAGCCGGTGCCAACAATTAACTAAAATGTTTTCAGTCAATTAACGTTTATAATAATAATATAATAATTTACATTTATCAAGCGCCCTTAAACAATCGTTCTTTCGCAGAGTACGTGGCCAACCACGCTGAACGGAGCACCCAGAGAAAACCCACATTTTTACTCTACTACATCCTCGACACCCACAGGTAGGAAGGGAGTTTCGCAACGGTTGTGCGGTGATCCACCAAACCCTTGCTGCTGCCTCCACAGTGCTGGATCACAGCGGCGCAGACGCCACTCACCTGGTTGGCAGCCATGGGCGAGTTGTTCTTCATCCACTCCTCGGTGATGCGCACGATGGCGCGCAGGATCTTGGGGTCTTGAGACTTCTCGAGCAGCGAGGTAAGGATGCCCTGCAGGAAGCCCTTGCGCATTTCCATGTTCATGACGGCCAGACGCGTTTTCACCAGCTCCAGGCACAACACGATCAGCTCGCTCGTCACTGAGAAGGCGCAGGTGGGGAGGCAGATAAAAGACTCAGGACAACAGAACTATGCCCCGAACAACCGTTCAGCCATGCAGCCCATAGAGCACCTGTTCATAATAATAATTTTTGTAAATTTGGTATCTGCCCCATAATTAGAGCACAAAGGCGATGATGAAGGCAGGCTTCACAGTCTGCAGTTGTTTCAAAATAGGTGGGCGATGTTGCCACGTGCAATCCCAATTGAGTGAGTGGCAGGTAACAGCACTCCTCCCCCAACAGTCTGTTAAGGCTCATGCGGGCGGGATCTTTGTCTTTGGTGGCCGGCGGGCTGAGCAGGCGCATCGTACCGGCCCCTGTGTCGGCCACCCCTGGCGTCGTCTGCGGGGTCAGGTGATCGCGGACCATCTTCTGCAGCGAGCGCATGCACACGGAGATGAGGCGGTCGATGTAGCTCGGGTTGTTGCTGCACGCCGACTTGAGGATCAGCAGCGTGCCTGCCGACCGCGCAAATGTGACGCGGTGAGACGCGGAGAAGAGGCCGACGCGTAAAACCGAAAACCGAGCATACTTGCACCTGTACCTAACTTTTTTTCTGGCACCTTTTGCTGCAACAATATACGCACTGTTTTTTTTATATCTGTCGTGCGTGTATCGTTGTTCACGATCGTTAAACACCAACGTTTGTTGGTCGTGCAATATCAGTAATGGACCCTGTACTCGTTCTCTGCAATGCTCATGTTGTCTTGCTGCTGTGCTCACCGCACCACGGATCTCCCGTGTAAAATACCCGGACGGCCGGCTAAATGGGGCATTCATCCCGTGTAACAAATCAAATGAACTTGTACTGTATGTGGGACATTTATACAGGGCTCCAAACAACAAACAAAGGCACACGGAAATAAGTAAAAAGGTAAATAAATATTACACTATTTTTTAAGTTAAGGCTGCACTTGCTTCTTTACAACTAATAAACTTGCATAGTTTTTTTCTTTGCATTAGATTAGAGTGTGTTCTGGGTTGTAGACGTGTATGTGTGTGTGCGCGCCTTGCGGGGTTGTTGAGGCACTGGCACTACGAATCCGGCGACACAAGTACAACTCCTGTCCAGCGTAAACATCAACACTGGCGTGACAAAAGAGGCTCTGCGTGGGTATTGGCACACACAACCTGCCTTCCTGTGCTGTGCCGGTTTTAAGAGGTGCTCGCTAACAGCACTTGCCCAGTCTGTTTATGAAGGCGAAAAAGGGGGATACATTGTCTATCTTTTACCAGGTAAGGCCCACTGAGCTGTTAAGTATGTTACATTTTTGTTCGCACCATACGTAGCCAACCGTGCTATTCGGAGGTGCGACCTTGCCACAAATGATAGCTCAATGAAGTGGCTTATCACGTGAAGATAACAGCCAAATACTCTAAATGCACGTTTTTATATATGGAGGGAAAAACCGGAGGACCCAGAGAAAAATCCACGTGACCACGGGGAGAGACATGCTAACTCCAGGGTCGGGATCGAGCCCAAGACCTGCTGTATACCAGGCAAGGCAGTTAACATCTCGCCACCACGAGATGTTGTACGTGTGACAGGAGAAAGGGCAGGAGTGTAGAAGGGGATGAGTTTAGAGGGGAGTCTTTTCTGCTGTTGTCCGGGGAGGGGGGGAAGGAAAGATGCTCAACTGCGGTCCCCTGTCTGCCATGCGTGCGTGCGGAATTCAGCGGCGCCACGCTCACCGAAGAGCTGCGTAGGACTGCTGCTCGCCGACTTCTCGTAGCTGGTGAGGCCCTCGTAAATCACCTTGCCCACCGCCGCGTAGAGGCTCTCCAGCTCCTCGTACTTGGACGCCACGGTGGACGTGCCTGCGACGCAACCCATCCGCCCCCACCTTGTCACCGTTGGGCATTGACGCTTTTCGTTCGTTGAGAGGCGCGAGCGAGCGTTTGGCTTTTTGGCGGGGAGCGGCAGCGTCGCGGTTCGCGCGCTGCACTACGAACCCGGAAACCCGAGTTCGATTGCCGCTCAAGGCCACCAACACCGGCGACAACATTTTCCAAAGTAAAAAAATTACACCGCAAAATTACGCGACGAGGGATGATACTCGCTTATCAATCATCACCAGACTAATGCGTGCTTTGCGAGCCAGGTGCAGAGTCAACCTTGTGCCGCTCGAGACGATGAGATGTGACGCATGTCGCTGACCGTGCGGAAAGCGCTCGAGTCCAACAAAATTAACCGTAGTCGTTATCGTTATTAGCAGTGTAATTGTTGTTATCACTATCGCCGTAATCGTTGTTTTCACTATCAAAATCAGTCACCGTCGTTATCGTTATCAAAATCACCGCAATCTTAATCAAAACCACTGTAATCGTCATCACTATCAAAAATTTATACGAGCGTAGCCATCGATTCGGGGCGCTGGAGAGACACGCAAAAGCACTTACTGGGCTCCGTGGGGAAGCTGCTCATGAGGCGGGAGAGCAGGCCCTGCACGGCGCGCAGCACCTTGGTGTTGGGGCAGCTCATGCAGGCGGCGAGTGCTCGCTGCAGCGGCTTGAAGCTCGCCAGCACGGTGGGCGGGGGCAGCACCGTCAGCAGGAAGGCCAGCACCTCGAGGCCCGTGCAGATGTTCGCCAGGTTCGCCTGCGCCTGCTGCTCCTGTGACGGAGCCATGGGTTAAACGGCACGAGCAGAGTTCAGCAATGCTATTGTGTGGGGGTGGGGGAAAACGAAAACCGAAACTGATTTTATATTTATATAGAGCGCCTTCACTCGAGGTTCTTGACATAGTGGAAGAAACGGTGACAATAGAATGATTCAGATGAGGAATGTGCGACAACGACCACAATAGAGGGGTACGTAGGGATCATGAAAGGGTAGGGGAGGGACGGAAAGGAGTGGAGAGGCAAGAGGGAAGAGAATGGAAGATTGAACAAGCAAGCTGTGTAAGGACTAAATGAAAATAGCAGGGTTGAAAGTGTTCAATTCCCCAAGAAGTTCCCAGCCAGTGGAGCGAAACTTTCCGAAGTACACGAGCGACATGTCTGCAGCAAGAGCGTGGTAGGGAGACTCGCTACAACCATGCACGTAATTCACTTATGCTTCTCATCCAGCGACCTGGGCTTCTCAAAATTCATATCCGGCAGCCTGGAGCGCACAGCAAAAACCTACACAGTAACGCCACACCCCTGAATGACCCTGGTAGTTCGAGGACGCGAGAAGGACATGCCACACCCCTGAATGATCCCGGGAGTTCGACGACACTATTTGCACAAGTCCGACGATCATAATGATAATGGTGACGACGATGACGTCGCTGTGGAACGGCGGGGGAGACGTACGACGGTCATGAGCAGCTTGTCGAACCACTGCAGCTTGAGCTCGGCGTTGGGCCACATGTCCGGGCGCAGCGCCGTCTTGAGGAGCATCACACAGCGGCGAGACAGCAGCTCGCCCGGAGAGCCCACGGTGCCGGTCGTCTCGTTCACCTGCGACGGAGCCGCGACACCCGCGTTGGAAACCCAACTCTCCTTGAGGGCTGCGGAGTTAACGTAAACTATAAAACTCTAAAAACACTTTTGTGACCATCAGGTAAGGCCCATTGAGCTGTGCAGCTCTTTTTCAGAAGAGACCTGGGCCACAAATGGCCGCTGAACGAAGTGGCTTGTCACGTGGAAATTTATAGCAGCCAAATCACTCTAAATGCATGCCGTTGATTCTAAATGTGGAGGGAAAAAACCAGAGGACGCGGAGAAAAATCCACACGACCACGGGGAGTGAGACCCTCGACTTCCTGTATACCAGGCGAGGTAGTTAATATCTTGCCACCGTGGCGCTAAACGTAACATTAATGGTGGCCCGGCAGACCGCGCTGGTTATCGCCGTGCGGGTGTGTTCACTGTCAAATAATAATGACGCACGGTTCGCTTTCCCGGCACACGTGAAAGGTCTGCTGACGTAATTCTCAACGACAAGGCCAGCGTGTGCCAGCGTCATGGTCCACATTTGCCGAATTCGAAAAATGACGCGCAACGTACCCGCTTGGGATTATACCCAGGCAGCAATCATCGCAATCAGATTCTAAATTGAAAACTTATTTCTTTAGGACCGCTTTTTGTATTTGTTTATTTTGTCCTTCCCCCGCACCTCCGATTAGCACGGTTGGCTACGTTACAGAATCTTTATTTAGACTGGTGGAAGAAGTTTAACATAGATACGTATCTATGTTAAACATACATACATCCCCATAATGGCAGGTGGCGCTGAGTCACGTTGTGCTGTACCAGGGCCAGCTGCAACTGGGGGGTGCCCTTTCACAAAATGTGTTGTGCGTATGCATGTTGAACTTCTTTCGCACCGTACGTAGCCAAACCGTGCTAATCGGAGGTTCGGGGGAAGGATAACAGACTAAACACAAAAATCTATTTTAGAAATGTGATGGAAATGAGATGTGAGCCGCTCATCGTGTGTAAAGTGCTTCTGAGATGCCACGGCTCAATCAAAATTATCATTAAGCACCACGTTAAGTTTCAAATCTGCCTCCTCTCTCAAACGCTTTCCAACAAAGGTTCATCATATACATCACCATGCTGGTAAGTGCAGGTTGACGAAGACGAGCAAGCATCGATGTTGGAAGCATAGTACAGTACAACAATTTGACTTTACCACATGGGCCTCTGCGGAAAACCGCGCGCTGCAAAAAGTCTATACCATGGCTGTTTCGCACACGGCTATCGCCAATCAGAGCACGATCCAAGCTCAATCTGGCTTAGCTTCGCAACATACCCGGCAAATTAGGTCAAAGGCACCATTACACCAGCACCGTAGTTACAGCGCCGTAGAAGTTGTCATTATTATAATTATTTACAACATTCCTCCTCCCCTGCTACAACCGCCAGACATGTTCCTCATCGGTCCTCTGGCTGCACCGCAGTTTACCTGGCAGGCGATGCGGATGAGGAAGTTGACCACCGTGTCGGTATGCTGCTTGTCGATCGGCTTCGCCGCCAACTGCTCCGCCACCGGCACCACCTGGCTGCGCCCAATGGGCTGTTGAAGAGAGAGGTGTGAGCGTGTACGGGTGTGTGTGTGTGCGTGCGTGTGTGCGCCAGTGGGGAGTGGTAGTGTAACGGTGAACAAGCTGCGCTATGAACCCGGCGACCCAAGTTCGATTGCCGCTCACAGCCAACACCAGTGACAATCTGAACTGGTCCTGGGCCTCCCCTAGGTCAATTCGGCCTCAAATGCGTACCCGGTGCGGTGCGTAAAGATAACCACTCGGCAAACAAAGACAGCTCGTGAGTGGTACTGGCCTTCATAGCTGCTTGCCAACAGCACTTTCCCCAACAGTCTGTTAAGGCTATACGGGGAGTCTTTGTCTTTGTGTGCCAGAGACAAGGCATGTGACGGTAGCCCGTCACGTCGCTTGCCGCAGAGGCTCGCGGGTTCGCTTCCGCGAGTCCGCCCCTGGTTTGTTCACCGGACGTTCATGACCCCGTGATGTCATTCAAGGCGAGTAGGCCCATTTGTGCACCCACGTCATGGCCCAAAGACCACACCGCGGGTTACTCAAGTGGGAGAGCACACGCCAGCATCTCACCCGACTGTAAAGCTACCAGACTACATATCGAGCGATTGAAACACCGAGGATGCGCACCACGGCCCCACAATATCGGTCGCGGCGCGAGGCCCTTTACCGCTGCAGTGGCCACGCGGAAGCGTTTGACGTCCTGCGTCGATTCCGCCGGGAGGCCTCGTTTTAGCGCCGCTGCAGCTGCGTCAGAGCAGGACGGGTGCTCCGCATCCTCCTCCTCCGGCTGAACAAAGACAAGCATTTTGTTGTAGTGCCCACCCAAGCACTCTCCAGGCTCAGCGCTGGCTGAGCCTTAGTGGGGTGATGAGAACGGGGGGGGGGGGGGAATTCTGGGTGCTTTGGTCAGTTATAAATACGGGCAGTCCTCGACTTACAAACATAATTTGTTCCTGGGGCCCACTTGTAAGTCAAACGGTACATAAGTCGCAACGCGGTGATCTACTGCATTTAATTGCCCACACACACACTCACTCACTCCCAGCACGAGGCTGACTCATCACATCTCATGGAGGATCGCTCAGCTGAACAATATAGTGCCGCGGGTTCGATTTGCAAGTGATAGTTCACGTTCTAAGTGAATGTAAAAACAATTTCATGGAAGCTGCTTTGCAAGTGCGGGTGGTGGTCGGTGCGGGTGCTCGTAAGTCAAGGACTGCCTGTAGATATCATGTACAGATGACAGACAGACACTAGCTAGAGGGAGATCGATATGTCTTCACCAGCTGGTGGATAACACAAAATGATGTGTGCCCGCCCCAGCCTTCCCTACCTGCGCGTCCTTGATCCTCTGCATCTCCCACTTGACGACCACCTCGGCCAGGTCCACCGCCAGCTTGCGCTGCTCCAGCGTGGCGCTGGGCGTAAACGCCAGCCGCTGCATCGCCGACACCATGTGCTGCACCAGGCTGTGCCGCACCGGGTAGTACACCTGCACACCGGGGCCGGCGGTACACGCGAGAGACGCAACGCATGCTCCCTTTGTGATGCGCACGCCAGAGGAGGTGTGTATCGGCTCAAACTGGAAATTTAGGAGACCAGTCAAATAGCAACTCTATTTCTGGAATCCAATACATTTCCCGGTGGAGTTGGCAGAATGGTAGAATCGTGGGGGTTCGGGAGGGGAGGTGAGAGGGGCGGTGTATTGTAAGTGAGGCCTAGCCAGCCTCGCATATAACAACGGTTTGAGATTACACGGATAGTCTCACCACAAACGTCATCGTTATCATAGTCATCCCTTTATAAATTGTCGACCCAATCGGTTACCATCCCTTTCTTGGCATCAGCCATTTGTTGCAATGGCGATTCCGGCTGATACCGACAGCCAAAAGAGAGAGGACAATAACCGGAGAGATGGCGACGAGATCGGTTCATGGGCAAGAGCGAGATCGAATGGTGATATTGCAGGATCCTCTGCCGAGCGACAATGACTGCATGGATAGGTCTTGGGCAATGGATCGACAGTGGAAAACGATGATGACGACGACAACATGTATGCGGTGAGACTATTCTTGCAATCTCAAACTTTCACGTTCAGAGAAGAGTTCAACTTAAATGAATAACTTGTGAGCGAGCAAAACAAACGAGTCGGCGAGCATGCCATCGACGGTGCGAGCCAATGAATAAGGAAGCGGGCGGGCGCGTGAACGAACGAGCGTGCGTGAACTTGCGAGCAGCTGACCCTGCAGTGCTGCACCAACAGGTGCAGGATGTGCACGAGCTGCGGGACCGTGTGGCCCTCCTCCACCATCAGCTTGCGCGTCCAGTGCGCCAGCAGCTGGTTGCCCTCCTCCATGCGCGCGGGCACGGCCGGCGTGAGGATGGCGAGCGCCTGCCGCACCACCAGCCGTGCTTCCAGCGCGTGCGCCTTCAGCAGGCTGATGAACACCTGCGGGACGATGCGGGCGGCGCCAGCGTGGTTTTCAAGCGAATTGGAAGAGGTGACAACAAAATCTTATGCCGTTAGAGCACCAATGTTCTGGAACATCGAACGTCTTACTTTTAAAAAATATCCTGAGGCATAGAGATTACTGCTGGATACAACCACGTTTGCCAATGTTATTTTTAACTTTAGTCGTTACCTGCGCATCGATAGTCTAATTTAAATGTGCCATTTTGTTGTTAGTCGTTACCTGCGCATCGATAGTCTAATTTTAATGTGCCATTTTGTTGAGCGAGCATGTGTTGCCTTGGTGTGGTCTGGGATTGTTTATGTTGTTGTTTTGCTGCCTTGCCAATGCATTTCTTGTTGAAAAATGGGACTTTTATACTTTTATTTTTTCGAGACTTTGACATTTTTCTCTATTGTGCACTCCGGTGTGTTGGATAGCAAACCCACAACATTTACAATTTCAGTACGACGTTTCTTTAGTGATTGCAACCAGCATCACCAAGCGATTGCAATCGGTGTGCTGAAGGAGTAACTAATTGGCACGTTTTGATCACGTGACAAACCTTACTCATTGGCTGTGTCAGACGGAGGTGGGTTTACAAAACATTTGCCGAAAAACATTTTTTTATGACTTTTTTTTATTTTTCCAGGTAAGCAACGCCCACTGAGCTATGTGGCTCTTTTTCATAAGCGACCTTGTCACAAATGATAGCTCAACGAAGCGGATTATGACGTGGAAATCTATAACAGCCAAATACTCTAAACGCACGTCGATTCTAAATGTGGAGGGAAAAAACCGGAGGACCCAGAGAAAAATCCACGCAAACTACAAATATACAGCAGGCCACAGGGTTGGGATCAAACCCACGACCTCCTGCACATCAGGCAAGGGAGTTAACATCTCGCCACCGTGGTGCCCTATCATGAATGGTTATTACCATAACCATCATCACTGTTAAAAGGGAGCGTCACCTGCAGCACGATCTTCTTGTGGATGGCGAACTTGGCGATGATGTGCGCCAGCACGAGGTGGCCGTGGTACTTGCACACGGGGTCGACACACGTCTTGTTGAGCAGGCAGGGCCAGGCGAAGGTCATGAGGCGGCGCAGCTTGGTGTTGCGGCTCTTGTTGTTGTCGTGGATGTGGTGCGAAGCGTGCTCCACGAGTAGCGCGGCAAACTGCAGCACGGCGATCCGCAGCGAGTCCAGCATCTCGCCGTGCTTCTCGGGCTCCAGCACCTGCCGCCGCCCCGCAAACACACCAAAGACAAAGGTTCCCCCCCCCCCCCCCATGTAGCTTTTAACAGACTGTTGGGGCAAGTGCTGTTATAGCGAGCAGCACCTATGAAGGCCGGCACTGTGGCACACGAGGGGGTGAGTGGCGTGGTTGACGCCACGTCCGGCCGCCCGAACCTCCCCAGTGCTCTCATTTACACACAAAACCAGCTGTGAGATGAAATCAAACACGAGTCGCCGGGTCAGTACCACAGTGCGCTAACCATTACACCAAAGTTCCCTACACACACACACATCCCTGCTGCAGTACCGCCACAGAGGGTGACCCCCAGTGGCCGCTGTCTCTCTGCGGCAAATGGCGGACGCAGCACCCGGCTGCAAGGGGAAATTACTCTACCAGCAGGAGGCGGTGTTGCTGCGCGAGTTTTCCCAATTAAGCAATTCGCGAGTGACTGATTTAAATTCGAAAAAGAATGTGGGTCGTGACGCCGGCACACGTGGCCTAATACCACTCTTGTTCGAATAACGTCACGGGATCCTTTGACGCACGCTGTCAAAGCCGACGGCGGTGCCGCCGGCGGTGCTGCCAACGTGGAGCCGAGCCCGCCCACCTTGTTGATGAAGACGCTGCTGATGCTCTCCAGGTTGTCGCCCTCGGGGTTGGGAGGCCCCAGCAGAGCTTCTCCTTCCGCCTTCTCGAAGCTGCTCTGGAACGCAGGGATGAGGATGTGCTGCAGAGCCTGCGGGGAGGTAGGGGGGGGGGCAGCACACAGGACATCGGAGGTCAGGATCCACCACAGCAGAATAACGCACGTGATGAGTCTGCCCCACAACGATTAAAGGTCAGGCATAATACAGGTTTTTTTGGGTTAGATCGTGTAAATATGTAAATGTGTCGTTAAACCTGCCACTACCCGACACAGCCAATTAGTAAGGGTTGTCACGTAAACAGAACATGCAAATTCGTTACTAGTACAGCACACCGGTGTGTTGGAGAGCCAAGCCACAACATTTACAATCCGAGTACGACATTTCGCCAGTAAGTACAACTGGCGGGTTTAACGACACATTTATATATTTGTGCGATTAAGTCCCAAAAAACCTGTATTATGGATGATTTTGGTCGCGTAAGCCTACGTGTTAAGGTCAAGTAGTTCACCAGCACTGATAAAAAAATAAGCCTGAGACACTGGATATCGAAACCGGTCGAGAGTTTGCATGTGTTAAAGCAATGCTCCTGGGATTATGCACTCCCAGAAGGCCGAGTGGCTGATGGGTTGTGTAATATTTTTTTTTTGTTTACGCCGAGGGTATGCGCGATGGGAGATGGCGCAGTCGTACCTTGGCCTTGAGCTCCTCGGGGAAGGTGGCGTCGTGGAAGATCTCGACGAACTTGAAGAAGAGCGCTCTCTTGTGCACAACGCCGTACGAGCGCGGAAGCTCCTCCTCCATGTACTCCTTGAGGAAGGAGACGTTGCAGAGGAGTGGCGACGTGAACGCCCGCAGCAGCTGGAACAGCAGCTCCATCTCCCCGTAGTGGTTCCTGCGCCGCCACAGCCACCAACGCGATACCAACGCGACGATCCGTCACCGTCCTTGTTACCATCATCAGCAAAGGCAGCATCGGCCGTGGTCTCTTAAATATCTGGGTGAAGGTCAACCACGCCCCTCCCCACCTCCATGCTCTCACCATACCTCATGGTCTTGCAACGCCACAATCGATTTCCCTCACTGTGGGCGGGAGAGGGGATTATCAAGTGCACAAGAGAAGCAGGTGGGTGGGCAGATGAGTGAGTGAGTGAGTGAACGAGTAGGGGGAGGGTGGGTAAGAGTGGAAGGGTCAAGTGAGCTCGTGAGTGAGTGACGGATTCAGACAACCTCAGAGCAACAATATGAGTGATCACGTGAATAAGAGGGACGAATGGTGGTGTAAAAGGGAGCGCGTGAGTGAGTAAACGGGTTAGCGACCAAGCGACTGAGTCACAGTGTGGATAGGTGGTTAAGTGAACTCATTCGTGAGCGCGTAGGTGAGCGAGCGAGCAACTGGGAGAGCGAGCGAGCGAACGCGGGAACGTGCGCGTGTTGCATCACCTGCAGTAGTTGAGCAGGCAGAAGGAGAGCAGCTTGGGCTCCTTCCAGTGCGACGTCACCATGTTCTCCTTGCGGTGGCGCTCCTGGAAAGCGTCGCTCACCCACACACGCCGCAGGTGGCTCACCAGCCCCGGCTGGCCCGGCAGCCACTTCTCGTCGTGCTTCACCAGAATGCTGATGATCTGCGCGCGCGCCACACGGTTACGTTTCCAAAATCGGATTAATGCGTAAAGTACAAATACATCCATAAGAGGTTTTTGGGTTAGATCACGTCAATATGAATGGGTCGTTAAACCCGCCAACACACCGGTGTGCTGAACTAGTAACGAACTGGCATGTTTTGTTTACGTGACAAACCTTACCAATTGGCTGTATCGGGTGGAGGTGTGTTTACGACACATTCCCATTTACGCAGCCTAAACTAAAAACACTTCATTACGAATATTTGGCCGTAGAAGCCTACGGGTTAAATAAAAAATAAAAGCATCGTAAACATCCACGCGCATCCATTCCCTGTGTGGCCTTTAATCGCGACTGCCAGTCTTAAGTCTGTCGTCCTTCGCCTCGCACCTCCGATCAGCACGGTTGGCTACGTGCAGTGCGACAAAAGCTCAACCGTACATACATGAAATCTCACTGCGCCGCAACGTGGCAGCCCCCACCCCCCCCCCTCCCCCACCTTGATTGCGTTGAACTGCAGGTCGAGTCGACTGCTGGGGGCGGTGGTTGGGGAGCCGGGCCGAGCGGGCGGGGCGGCGGCCGGCGCTAGCAGCCCCACGAAGCGGACGGGCGACGCCGAGATGACGTCGCGCAGGTGCCTGGCGTCCTTGTGCTTGAGGAAGCTCTGCGTCAGAAACACGTCCGAAGCAGCAGCTCGCACAGCTTTGCTCGCGACAACCTCGACGGCGGGGCGGCACGCGGAGGTTTTAACGCCGTGCCACCGTTTCTGTCACAACACGAGCGTAACTGAGGGCGACTGGCGGCTGAGGTTGGCGGATGTGGTCGCTCCTCGACACTGATGCACAAACTCCTCCTGTGTTCTCCTCGTCACCAACACGTGCAATGCGGTTTTCACATTTCAGGACTTACGCCGGTAGTCGGGATATTCCGTTCACCTTTCGTCAACGTTTGTACTCGTCCGCGTAAGTTCAGCGGTTCAAAGATCAAACTATGAAACATCACTGTGTCGGAACATGTGTGCGCGTGTCGTGACACACAAAGTAAAAGTTCTTCCGTATAGCCTTTAACAGTCTGTCAGGGGCAAGCACTATTAGCGAGCACCTATGAAGAACAGCATAGCACATGAGGGAATGGGTGGCCAATCTCCACGCCCTGGCGCATTTGTCTCGACAGTGCTGATGTTTGTTCACCGCACCATGTACTCAATTAAGGCCGTGGGGGAGGCCGAGGACCGGTCCCCACAAAAACAAACATACACACATACATACACACACCATGAACATGCGGCTCCACTGCGGGTCGTTCAGCGTGGCCTCCATCATGAAAAGCTCCACCGTCTGGGCTGGGTAGCGAGTCAAGAACTTGATGAGTGGCTCCCGGAATGGGCTACCAGCCTGGAGGAGAGGGAAGGGAGACGGAGGACAGGGGAGGGAGACGCAGGAGCGGGGATTGGAGATGGAGGAGAGGGTAGGGAGACGGAGGAGCAGGGAGTGAAAACAGAAGGGAGGGTGACAGGGGAGGGCGACGGGGGAGGGAGATGGATGGGTGCAAGGGGCTGGTAAACCTCACCAACGTTTAGACAAAAACACCATGTAGAAAGAACACAGGAGCATACACAGACAACCACATACTTGAGGGTAATGACACAGAGACTGGCTGGTGGAGCCGCAATCCCTCCCCCCATCCCTCTCACCCACCCCCCCCCACCCCGCCCCCCATTTGATAAATGCTGGTGGGGGTTCGACCTCTATGAGCATGGCACGTTCAGTCTTCATCACCACCTCCAGCAGCGGCTTCACCAGGGTCTGCGGCGCCGCCGGTATCAGGTGGAACAGGTTGATGATCGCCGCGCAAATCTTCATTTCCTGGCACGGAAAAACGCACAAGAGCCGCCACGACGATTCGTCGGGAGAGTGTCAGGGTCGCTGTAAGCCAACATCCGGTTATTTAAGACAACACGAGCCACCAACCCGCAAGCTATGATTTCACCACCCTGCATGGGTTTCCGCGGTGGCGCCATACGGTTCTCCGACACGTGTTTGGGTCGTACCGTGTGCCTTTTTGGCATTCTTTCGTCTAACGCCGATGAGACAAGGCCATGAAGGAGGCTGTCTCTGGTGTAGGCCAATCAGATCCAAGGACAATGCATAATTATCAAATCATGTTTGTTTGCATGTTTTACCACAAGCATGTGGGTAATGCAGACTCGATGCCTTGTAACGAGTGTTCATTTGGTGTTCAAACACCTTAACGCCTCCTCTATTATTGCCGGAAAGTGTCAAGCCTATTCTCTTATACTCATTATGATCTCTTAAGTTATCACCGTACAGGGTATAGAGTGCATTCAGAACACATAGTGCATGCAATGATAGAAAATGCACCACGTTCAGCGCGCGGTTTTGTAAGAAACGATGGCAGGGGATGAACGTCTTGCGACTCTCATGCGGGGAAAGGAACTTTTTTGTTGCTGGCTTGCATCGAACAACTAAAGTGGAAATCGCCCCTCCGTTTCCGATCTTTAATCGGTGTTAAAGAAACATCTCACTTGACTCGTTTTCTGTGAGGGGCCATCGATGTTGTGGGATCTGGCACAGGCCCTAGTGGAACTGGCACCCGAGTCTGGCACGGTGCATTCATGGAGAGACACTTACTTATGCATGAACAATTCTGGAGAGGTGGGTTCAGGAATTGTGGTGTTGGTTCAAGTGTCATCATACATCACTTTAATGTTAGACATCTAATGTCAATTTGCTGCAGAGAGCAACATCTACGGGGGGTAGTACATTGAACAGTTTTTTTTTCCTGTACAATTTAATTAAAGAACAATTAAATTAAATAATAATATAGGTGAAAATGGCTGTATAAAATTCTGCGACTATGCCTGTCGCACGTTGAAAACAACCACACGCATTTTTTTACACACACACACACAAATTATCTCAAAAACACGTACACACACACACACACGCAGAATTTCACACCAACGCGCACATACTAAACTGACTGTCAAAATGATTCGGTAGGCATCATTGGATAATAGGGAAGGAACAAGTACTTGAGAGACGAAGCACCGTGGAGATGGTGTAATGACATCAGCTCTCATGCGCAAGAGCAAGAAAGGATGGCCAAGGGCATTGCAAGGGCTTCATCCAGCAGTGGACAGAACATGGCTGAAGGTGATGATAACAATAATCATGCTCGCGGTTGCAGTCACATGCTGATGCTTTCGCTGGCGAGAGTGATCATGATGATGGTCGTCTTGGTAGCGTTTGTGATGATGATGGTGGTGATGATGATGAGTGTTCCACAGCAGCTGATGATGATAGTCACCCGATAACAAACTGAAAATAAAAACACCAAAAAAACGAAATACCTCCATAGGAGTGAGCAATACTAAAAACAACCGGCCGAGCGGTGAGTTGCGCTATAGATTTTCAGAGTTCAGTCGTACCAACTCGTTTATAATAATAAAAAACTACGTCCCTAATTTGTGCGGACAAACGCCCTCTGTGGATGTCGAGCCGATTATTTTTAGTTCACAAATGTTTTTGTTTTCCATCAAATGGCTCTATGTGGAATAGTGAAACATTATCTTGCAACGTTAATGACGGATTTTACATGAGGGACTGTTTCTCAAGGCCCGCAACACAAGCCACCAAATCGCGTGCGTAAAAATCATCACGTTTATTCTATTCGAATACGAATTATGTTTAGGTTTATATATACTACAGACGTGAGCTGGAAAGCAGCGGCCAGGCTGTGAGCTGGCACGAGCAACAAATCCTGAAGCTCTGCAGTCCTCTAGATATAAGATGCTTTCAGCCAATTCATGAGTGTCTTATACATTGGCTGCAGCATGCTCAGCGGAGGAGTGCAAATGGGCACGTCATGGTTAATCGATTGGCAGGTCACGTGTCGTGGGGTAACGTACGGGTACTCCCACCTCTTCCAAGAAATCTGGCCAGTGTGGAGGAGGAGGCCCCTTAGGGGTGCTGTCTATGCGTGAGCAAACGATTGCGGGGTTGCACCTCAACCTTTACACCCAGGGCAATGTGAAAATTAATTGTCAGACGCAATCCGGACCATGAAATCCGCCATAATTCATAGCACCGCTTGCTCGGCGGGTGAATCGTCACACCTCTAAAACGTAAGGTGCCGTGTACTCGTTCCGGCTGCTTTAACGTCATTGCTCAATCCGTGAAATAAAACCAAAAACGCGTGAATGTGAACACACGTTCGACACTGGACGCACAGCACGATAATGATAATAATCATAATAAACACATGACGAATGGAACGGACCCATCGGTGGAATGGACAACCGGTAAACGAATAAAATGACGAATGCGGCACACGCCAGCAGTACCAATGAAATCCCATAATTGCCAGGAGCTAACGCTGCCGGGCTGACACACCCAAGCGTCATCTCCAGACCCTCCATGGCAGGCTGAGCCAGAGAAAAACGACACAAACATCACGGCACGGGTAAGGGCGTGCCCCCGTCAGGTACATTCATCAACGGGGAACACAAAGACAAAGATCCCCCCCGTAAAGCCTCAACAGACTGTTGGGGCAAGTGCTGTTAGCGAGTAGCACCTATGAAGGCCGGCAAGGTACACCGAGGGGTGGGTGGCCAGCACCACGCCCGACCGCTTTTGTTTCCCCAGTGCCGATGTTTACACACCGCACCAGGTACTCATTTGGAGCAAGGTCGTCCTAGGGGAGGCCCGGGACCGGTTCAGATAATCGTCACTGGTGTTGATCGTGAGCGGGAGTCGAATTCGGGTCGCCGTGTCTGTACCGCAGTGTGCTAACCGCTACACTACCGCTCCCCACACACACACACACAGGTGCATTGCAAACAGCACCGGTGCCAATATCACACGGTAAGGCTCAGGGGTCACTGGGCCAACAGCCCTGCCAAACAGATGGAAGGCATCATACATGTGTGGACAAGTAACACATGAAGCATGAAAACCGTGTAATACACTATACACAAGGAATCATAGCACTCAACACGAGGACCTGTTACACATTCTATACAAGGAACCACAACAAACAATAAATAGACAGAGACCTCTACCATATTATACATCATGATTTGTAACACGCAACATATGTTAACTCATTTCCTGTGGCTAATGAAAAGCAGCTATACACAAGGACTAATAATAATTTAAAACACATTGACATATAAAACATATTATACTCAGGACTTATGCATATAAAACATATTATACTCAGGACTTATGCATAACACATTAAAACACACAGACCTATAAGGGATTATAGGCAACAACCTATTACATGAACCAAAAGGACACACACATGGGGTGGCATATAAACAAGCGCTGATCCAGCATTTCCCAGATCTATACAAGGAGGTGACACACCACATGCAACAAGTTGAAATACAGTCGATCATCGATCATCCGGCACGCATCCAACATTGTCCGGCGGTCCCGGGCCGATCTGGCGAAACCGGCGATCGACACCGTGTGCATGACAAAAAAAAAAGTAGCTATGCTCGATTTAATTGTTAAATATTATATACACTGCATTATACACTACATACAACTTAAACAATGAAAATACTGCACGTACTTTATATACATGACCGAATGACGCGGAGTCTTCCAGATTGGAGTGGTAAGTACGGTACGGTAAATACAGTAACTTTTGTTATTTACGCAAATTTCATATCGAAAAAACACATTTAAAACACACAAAAACACATTACAACACCTCAAAACATAACGTCATGCAAAAATAAGCGATGGCACCTCCCCCCTCCCCGCCGAAGCCGCCGGATAATCAATGATCTACTGTACACACACACACATATCACATAGACGTTATTTGGTGATGCTGCTGCTGCGCATTGGCAGTGATGCACAAGCAGCACAGATAACCAAAAAAACATCTCATCACATTTCGTCAATAATAGCGTGGCCTTAAAAGGAAAACGTATATGACCGATGAGGTTGTGGGTCACGACCTTTCTTCATTAGCGTGCTGTGAAGGAAAAGCCATTGTCTGAATAGTCACCGATATACATACGTTTCTCTTTTACAGCCAGCATGATTGACGGACATGTTGGGTGTTTCCAGACATCATATACAATCGGCTCAAGAGTGACATGCCAGTGGTTGGCAGCATATGCAAGACCTTGACACGCACACGCACACACCACCATTTACCGCGAGATATTTTTGACATTTATCAAAATGTAAACACAGGAGACAAAGAGATACAAGTGGTCTGCTTTTGGTAATGAGCAGGTGATGAATCACACAGACACACCACTGAGACTTTCAACACAACCCACCATTGTTCAGCAATATACATTAACCAGCGTGACTTTTGGACACGTACCGCATAGCACAGCTCATTGCTGCAAATTCATTACCACATTCATGAGCGCTTGAGGGACACTGAACAAACTAGCCTGAATAAAACTGGGGAATTCTAATTTTCTTCCGTTATCCAATTGGCTGAATGGAATAAACAATGTAATCAAAAAGAAGCATAATTAATATTTAATATATTTCTGCTGGAAATATGATCGTGTTTGTAAAAAAAACCATTTTATTTAATTAGAGTAATAAGAATAATTAAATATCAAGCCCTTAATTTACAAAAGCTTCCCTCGAGACTTTAAAAAATAATTCTGCCCGGGAATGTTTTGCCAATTCATATTCAGAGGGTTGCGGCGTCATTAATGTACTAAACTGTAAATGAATTTGAATCACTGCGAAAGCTTTTCGTCAGATTTCAAGAGATCACGTGGATGAGTGGTGGCGAGTGGCGCCCATCAGCCGGCTCACCGATCCGTCATTGCGTTGTCCTCCCTTGTGAGCAATCACCACCACCTCCATCCACTTCCGCAGGTGTTGCTGCGTGGGAGACACAAAAGACCAAGGTCCCTTCGTATCGCCGACACAAACCGTTAGGGCAAGCCCTGTTAGTGAGGCACCTATCAAAGCCGGCACGGTGCACGAAGGGGATACTGTGGTCAGCACCACGCCCGACCACCTTTGTTGCACCAGGTACTCATTGAAGGCTGGGTCGACCTAAGAGTGGCCCAGCACAGGTTCAGATATTCATCACTGATATGTTAGCAGTGAGCGGCAATCCAACTTGCAGTGCGCTAAACACTGCGTTCCACTCTTCAAATGGGAGACACGCGCACACTCACACACACGTGTACACATGCAGACAAGTTCACGGATACGAGAGCTAACCAACTCACTTTCCCAAACGATAAATTGAATGGACCAATGAGCGCTCAATTCACAAATTTGGCCAACATACAATTACACTCCCACACGCGTATGAATATATATTCACACACGCATATACATGTTAATTTACGCACATACATAGAGACTGGCATACACATGCACAAACAAAAGATCCCCCATATAGCCTTAATAGACTAGGGGCAAGTGCTGTTAGCGAGCACCGATGAAGGCCGGAACGGTACACGAGGGGGTGGGTGGTAAGCACCACGCCCATGTCTCCCCAATGGCAATGTTTACACACCACACCAGGTACTCATTTGAGGCCGAGTCGACCTAGGGGAGGCCCAGGACCGGTTCAGATAATCGTCACTGGTGTTCGTCGTGAGTGGTAAACGGACCCGGATCGCCGGGTTCATAGCACAGCGCATTAACCGCTACACTACCGCTACACAAGCACACACATGCTCTCAAACGCGTGCATGTGCACGCATAAACAACAATCGGCATTCGCCACTAAGTGGCAAAGATGTCACAACAGAGATTGTACCGGGCTAGAGACACTTTGAGGCTCGCTGGCAGGGAAGATCCACACACACACAAGCGTTCACACACGCCAGCCCATACGCACGAGCACAGCCCAAGTGTCACCTTCGTACCATGATCTGGTCGCAGAATTTGTCGTTGAGCGAGCTGGGGAAGAGGCGGGTGACGGAGGTGAAGCGACGGACGACGTTGAGGCTCAGGCTGCGGTAGTCGCCCAAAAGCATCAGCAGCGGCCGCATCAGATTGTGGATCTGGTCCATACCGATGGTTGTGCCCTCCAGGAACTAGCAATGGTCAACACGCAGACACACGAACGGGTCCACAGAGTTGGCTATTTTTCCTTCCACCTCTGTATAATAATTCAGCACATTTCGTAGTGGTACCATTCTTACACGACAAGGCTTTCACAGAAGTAACTTGCGATTATTTATTCTTCAAATTTTGGCAAATTTTGACCATGACGGCAGCAAACAATGGCCCACTCGTTGTGAATGACGCCACGGGATCTGTAACATCGACTGTGAAGAAGAAGGCGGAAGCACCTGCAGCATTAACCAGAAAGGGAAACGTTGTGACCTGGAGTGTGGTGGTTAAGCAGACGGGTGGGTGGGTGGGTCGGTCGGTCGGTGAGTGGGTGAGTTGTTGCGATCTGCAGTGTAGTCGTTGAACACGGTGTGGTTGAGATTAAACAGCCAGTCTGGTGGACCAAGTCCTAAATATTGGTTGACGAATCAACAAGTGACGTTCGCGGAAACAGTACCAATGGAAGCAGCAATAGAAGAGTGATATGGAGGTAACTAATGTTGGGAAGACTCGATTAACTTGTGGACTCAAAATGCTCCTCACAAAAAGGTATGTTGAAAATATATCACTCGAAAACGATAGCTGTTACTCAGTCATGACAATGACATGAGTGTGGCCTTGATGCAAGTAAAGGCAGTAAAGCCTGGTTAGGCCGAGGGAATCCTTAAGAGGGGTGGAGGATTTTTTCATTATGTTGGTACCGTCGTGGTAAACATGGCGGGGAAACACATGTGGCCACGTGCGGGCCATGTGCAATTAACTTGAAGTTAACTCAGAAGGGGGTGGGGGCGAATGCTGCGGAGCGGAAACACACGACACCTTTTCCATGCACGACTCGCCCGCCTTCTGCAGCTCGTCGTTGCTGGAGTTGAGAGCCTTGAAGAGGGCCGCGATGATCTTCTCTCGAACCTCGGCCAGGTAGTTGCACGACGCCAGCGCTTCTGCACCGATGAGAGCGCAAGGGGCAGCAGTCAACGTCGGCGGTGCGATGACAACGGTGGTGGCTGCTCGTGAACAGCACTTGCTTCAATGTTTTGTTAAGGATATAACGGTGTGGGGGGGGGAGGAATATTTGTCTTTGTGTGGGGAGTCAGCTGGGCAGGCACCTGGCATGGCACTTACTGAGCGCAGCGATGCGCAAGGGAACCAGGGAGGGCAGCGACTTGTAGCAGGGCAGCTTCATGAGGACAGCGTCCTCGGCCTCGCACAGAGTGAGCAGCTGCGATCAGGGAGGGAAGTACAGTGAGGGAACCAAGAGAACGGTCATGCTGTCCTCCTTCCCAATAACCGCAGTGATAACCGCAACGTTAATCTCCTTCCTACAAACCGCAATGCCATGTCTTTCATAACCGTAATGTGCTCTCCTTTCCAATAATCGTACGAAAGTTGTAGAGAAAACACCGCACTCCACCCTCACTACTAAAAATTGCACTGTGCTCTCCTTCCCAATAACCGCATTACAATGTACTTTCCAACAATTGCAATGCACTCTTTCCCAATAACTGCACTCCACTCTCCTTCCCCAATAAGCACACTCCACTCTCCTTCCCAATAACCGCACTGTGTTTCTCCTCCTTCCCAATAACCGCAATGTACACTCCTTGCCGGTGCAAGAGTGGCCGCTGGCACACCTCGGAGAAGAAGAGCTTGTGCTCCATGATGGTGAGGTCCATGGTAAAGAGGCGCGGCTGAAGCGTCGTGCAGAAGGTGTTGCCCTCCATGAGGCCGATCTGCGCGTTGGCCGGCTGATGTTTCAGCAGGTGCTTCTTGGGTGGGATCATGTCTTGGAGCACCTGCAGTATAAACAAAGAAATTGCAACTGCCACAGCAAACGGTCTCCACCCGTGATCAATCTGGGTCGGTACAATTCTCAGAACACCAAACTCGCGTACCGGCACTTTTCAGAACGGTTCATATTCCTCCCCGCTGTGCTGTTCCCAAAGATGGGAAATGGCAGTGAACATGGGCTGCTGCAGGACTCCATACCGATGCTTCTACATATCCATCTCAATCACCAACGGACGATTGAGATGGGAAACAAACACGCACGCACCTCCTTGTGGGGCTCCATGATGTCGGCGACGCTCTTGCCCGTGGCGCGCGCCAGCACCTGCAGCGAGCGCATGGCCTGCGCGCGCACCGTCTGGTTGGGCGAGGTGACCTCGCGCACCAGCTCGTGCGTGGCCGCGTGCAGCGCCTTGGCCTGCGAGGCCACCAGCTCCGCGGTGCGCTCGTCATCGCGCAGCGGCGACGCGCACCGCACCAGCAGCTGCTCCAGTGTCGCCGTCGCCATCGCCACGGCGCCGCTCGACACCTGCGAGAGGTAGATCGTGGCGAGGAGGCGGTGGTAGGTTAGGAGCGGCGGCGAGGGAGCCTTCCGAGTTATGGAATCGACAAGCGGAACAGCACGCCTCCATGGCATAGCCGCACCTCCACATTATTCAGTGGCGGGCCGTGTATTTTACACCTAGGCCTTCAGTGCTATCCTCCCGCAATTAAACAACCTTCGAATAACCTCACCATGACACTAGGGCTATAGGCTATTGTCATTCGAAGTAACCACCCATTATTCCCAGTGACAGTAAACTTTATCGAGTGGAATAAAGTGATTTAACACGAGGCTCAACACCTATGAGAATTACAATACACTAATTGCAGAGACATGAATACATGGTGACTGCAACCATTAAGGATGTACCACTATTACGCAGTATGACAGGATGCTACATCACAAATAGACATCACATAGCCAAAATCAGTCATTACCAAAGAAACAAGAACAAATGCACAACAACCAGTCACAATTACTCACACGACCGCCAAGCAAGCAAAAATGCCATAAAACACAAATAACAATCAGGATTTAATAGGCTTCCCCACAGAAAAAAATCTAAAGCACAACATAAAAATCTAAACGTCACGAAATAAAGTTTAAATTAATCTTAGATGATGCTACGTTATGTGCTAGCTAGTTTTACTTCAGTTAGCTAACTGGCCTTCCGATCACGCCACACGAAAAATGCTACCGTAGGCGGCTAGGCCAGCTAGAAGGCTCCGGCGTGTCAAAGAATACGCCCAACATGGCAAACTCAAAATCTGATTGGTTAAAGAATATGACAATCAACAACATCGTCCACATTTGCTTCAACAGCAGAGGGGATTCACTCGACATTCTGAAGGCCTCAGGGTAGATTTTTCACCCGGAGAGGCGGAAACAGCACAGGTGGAAAGAGTAGCAATGAAATGACGTGAATAGACTAATGGGAACGAACTTTTAATCATACAAAGAGTATGAATACATATAGCATTAATGAAAATATATATTAAATGATAAAAATATAATTTTCTCATTCTGACAATCTCTAGGCCAGCAGAGAAGGCCTTGCTGGCCCTGAGAGCCCGCCTCTGACATTATTAAAGTTTTCTTTTTTCACACACGGCCTTCTGAGAGTGCACAACTTCTGGGGCATTGGTTCAACGCAAGGAAACTCTGGCACCGGCCTTGACACTCAATTTCTTGTCAGCAGAGCCGCCCTTTGCTTGAACTAATGCTGCACTGGCAGATGTTTATCAGCAAGGATCCCCTTTCTCTACCGAACATTGGTCATTGTTCGATGCAAATTCTGCACCAGAGAAGCTGAGCTGTCACAGCAGTAAGGGAGACAGGTGGCATGAGAGAAGCAGAGACGCAGCATGGAGATGGTGAGAAACAAACACCAGACTTGAACTGTTAGCGAAACAATCATGCTCTTCCACACCGCAATTAAATAATGGCTTCCCCAGTATTGCAAATCATCAGCACGCCACAACCACGCGACCCTCATCAGATCAGTGAGCGATCGCGTAGCATCCATATATATTGGGTTTTGTCATTATTACGAATCATCAGGAGAGCATAGTCACGCTACTCTCTTCTGCCCCCCATCAAGGATAATCAGTCGAAAGTCATTCTATTCTACACAGCCCAACTGTCACCACCATAATTAGGCCTCGTCAGCATCGCACTGCTCTACTGCAGGGATCAGGAACCAAAATAACAAGAGCAGCCATTTTTGTCAAATTCTGTAAAAAAAAAAATCGATATTTCAGGAGCCGCAATGCATGCGAGCACAAGATGATCCTTAATAAATAACGCCACCAAGCAGTCCCTGAAGAGTCGCATGCGGCTCCGGGGCCGCAGGTTGCCGACCCCTGGTCCATTTGCCATTTGCTGACGGCCACCTCGCAGCAAAAGACCGATACACTGACCTCCCCGGTGAGGTCCATCATGACGAAGAGCAGGGCCTTGAGGAATGTGTACTGATGCTGGAGCACCCAGGCGAGAGGCAGGCGCTCCATGAGGAACTTGATGGCCACACAGCCGCCCTGCTTGGCGTACCACGCCTGCTCGTAGCAGCACGCGCACAGGCGCTCCACCACGTACGAGAAGAGCGGCAGCTGGCTCGCCTGTGGGGTGGAGAAAACATGGCGTCCAGGGAGTGGGTAAAATGAGGTGTCTGGGGAGTGGGGGGAACACGGTGTCTGGGGAGTGGGGGGAACACGGTGTCTGGGGAGTGGGGGGGGACACGGTGTCTGGGGAGTGGGGGGAACACGGTGTCTGGGGAGTGGGGGGAACACGGTGTCTGGGGAGTGGGGGGAACACGGTGTCTGGGGAGTGGGGGGAACACGGTGTCTGGGGAGTGGGGGGAACACGGTGGTCGGGGAGTGGGGGGAACAGTGTCAAGGGAGTGGCAGGCGTACCCTCTCCTTGGAGCCCATGATGATGGAGGCGACGTCGAAGATGATGGCGAGCGCCACCTCGCCGATCTTGCACAACTCTTTCTCCTCGTACGCCATGCACACGGCGATGGCGTCCACCAGCACCAGCGGGTCCATGCAACGCGCGCCGCCCTCCTCGCCGTGGAACATCAGCGTGCTCAGCTGCGAGTCGGGCTTGTGGGCACCCAGCGGGAACGGGCCTGGGGCGGCAGGGACAGGGGGGCACAGGAGGAGGAGGTGGAGCAGTCACAAAATAGTCGAAGCGATTTCCTGCTCAAATGAGCATTGAGGCGATGCTCATCGCATTTACAGCTCCGAGCCAATGGTGGACATTCCCAGGGGCGGAGCCAGTAAATTCAGCCCGGGGTGACATTCAACAAATTTTAATTTCAAGAATGATTAGAGAGTCAGGCTGTTGAACTAGACGCCATCGGTTGGCGACACACTCTGACAATGCAGTTGCACGGAGTCCGCCAGACCGAGTGTCGTACACTTATACGCAGAATGTTTCAGATTTTCGATTTTTTATCTTTTTTCGGGGGTGACAATTGTCTACCCTGTCACCCCCCTGGCTCCGCCCCTGGACATTCCACATTACTGTGGCATGCGGGCCAGTTTCTGATTAGGACAACCCGTGAGGGAGGGATGATGGGGCTGAGTCAACCCCCAACCAGCAAATTAACTCGCAAGCTTCCGATTGAGAGTCGCTCGGGCGGAGGAGTAGCGGCGTGACGAATAAAACTAACTGGAATAAAAAAAAACACATTTAAGTCGTTTACCTATGTACAGCCGAACGAGCGCAATTGAAAAGGTGCAGCCCTGCAAGGGATCACAGCCGGCAAGAGGGTGCCTACCGAATCCAGGCGCCCGTCACACACACACACACACCGCTCCCTCACCAGCCAGCTGTGCCACGGCCACCATGGTGTAGTGGCGGATGAGGCTGGCAACAAAGGGCAGGGCGCTGGGCCGGAGGTCCTTGATGACGGCCGACATGAAGGCGCCGGTTAGCGCTTGCTCGAAGGTGCGACGCGCCGGCGTGTCCTGAGCCTTGAAGCGGTGCGAGATGATCACCGACGGTACCGGCTTGTCCGTGAAGCTGGCGCGGCGGGCAGGGTGGTACGGTAAACACAGCGGTCAATTCGCCACTACCATCACCACCACCAACGACAGCCGCCGTTTGCAACTATATGGCGGTGACGTCACCAGAGCACTTGGGCCAGCCTGGCGATTCGCCACTACCACCCACCAATCACTATTGTCTGCTTAAATTGGTTAAGACTATATATATATTTCAGCAGCAGGAAGAGCCCAATGAGATGTGAGGCTTAGTTTCGTAAGAGGATAGGAGGGTGTTAAGGCAAACACAGTGGTCACTTTACCATCACCATCACTCTGTCTACTTAAATTTGGGTACACCAATGATGATGAAAATTATACTGTTTTACAAAAATCCTAATAAAATAAATTAAATGTATTTCAGCCATTCTCTGTCCACTGATGAATGAAGCCCTCCCAGCGCCATATCAGACATGCGTGTTTTTTCACTGATGCAATGCTTTTGTGAGCACTCTGTAGGAGGGCGGCACCTGGGATGCGCTAGTAGCTGATGCAGCGGAACCTTGCTGTCATCCAGGCACATCATGGCGACCAGGAAGCAACGGATGACCTCCCAGGCTTGCCGCCTGTAGTAGGGCTCCGTGCTGGCGCTCTTTAGGCAGTCCAGGGCAGTCTCAATCGCCTGATCGGGGCAATAAATCATCACAAAAACATCAAGCCTTGTTAAGTTTGCTTTTACAAAAAGGTGGCGACAATGGCGGCCGTTAAACCATGCAAAAATCTGCGGGGTGGCAGCTGAAACACACGGTGATGGCAAAATATGGCGGCATCAACATCAATGGCCGCAGGGTGACCTCTTCACCATGACCTCGGCAGCAAAGGCGTTTTGTGACGCACCTTCTCCATGGGCAGCTGTATGGAGGCCTTGCAGTCGGGAAACTCCACGGTGACACTGGGGCCCTGCGTCTCGGTGCCCTGCCAGCTCAGCTTCTGCGACTCCTTCAGCATCTTGCGGTTGCTGCCGCCAAACTTGCCCAGCACGCGGTAGGCCACATGTGAGATGTTGTCCGCGGGGTTCCTCAGGGTCCGCCACAACGCCTGGTGTAGAAGCAGATGTCGGAAGGGTGGGCGGAGGTCAGGAAGTCAAGAGAGGAGTGGCGGGCAAAGCGCCGGGAGAGACGGGGTCAAATGTGAATTTCGAAAAAAAGCAAATCGCAGCGCTCGTCATTAACACTGCCCTACAAATAGTAATAATTTACATTTATAAGGCACAATTCATCCGGAGATTTCAGTGCGCCATGCACGAAGCTAGGAAATATAAACACTACAAAGAGGCCCTGGCAAAATTTGGACCGTGACACCAGCGCACACATGGCCCTACTTTTTTTTTTTACATTATGAGATCGTGAGCATCCAATGTAAAGCAGTGGGCACACGCACACATGTAGGGTGAACATTTGAGCTCTGCAACGTCTGCTGAACAACGGATGCCTTCCAAACAACACGCGTTGCTTTTGCCATTGTGCGCTGTCGACGAGCACACACACCAACCTGCATGAGCTCGGCGCGCACGGGCTGGATGTGGTCGTACAGGAAGTCGGGCTGCAGGTTGTCGACACACAGCTCGAGCGTGCGCAGGCCCTGGCTCACGAGCGTCTGCGAGCCGTTGAGCGCCGACACCAGCGGGTCCATGAGCATGGGCAGGTAGGGCAGCAGCGAGCTGAGGCGCACCGGCACCGTCAGGCACAGCTCCACAAACAGGTCCTTCATGTACTGCTTGTGCAGGCCGCTCTGCAGCATGTTCAGGCCTAGGCGGAGTTGCAGGCACAAAAAGAAGAGAATCAGAATGCGAATCTTTATTTAGACTGGAGGAATCCAATGAGCTATGGAGCTCCTTTTCACAGATGTCCAGTATGGGCAGGTCAGCAAGTTACAACAGTAAACAAAGCAAAAACGCGATAGGAATGCAAAAATTAGATGAAGGCAAGAAAATTACCGAATATAAATAAGTACCTAATAATTTGCTTGCATAAGTCCGATTTATCAAGTTTGGGCAAGGCAACAGAAACAAAAAAACAGTCCCAGACCACACACCAAGATAACAGTCCCTCAATAAAATGGCACAGGAGAGGGGAGAGAAAGGCAAACGGCTGAAGCGGTCGTTGAGGTCTGTTGTTGGTGTATGAAGACATTCGAGGAATTGCCAAACAATCGCGGCCTTGCATAAGAGAGACCAGTGGTTCTCACCGTGTACAGGATCTTGCGATGGAAGTTTGGCCAGATCATTACGCGGCCTTACCCGAAATTGACCGATTCATCGTTACCATCGCTATCGCTACCAACAGGGGAGTAAGCTAGAAGCTGCGAGTCTCACCCTGCAGTAAGTTGGGCAGCAGCGGCAGGAACTCCTGGTACAGCAGATCGTGGCTGCCCCCTCCGATGGAGCGGAAGAGCGCCCGTAGCAGCAGGAAATAGTTGTATGGCTCCTTCGCTGTCTGTGCCAGCTCCATGGCACTCGTCACTATGCGGTGCAGATGGGGCTGTGCGCGCGTACGCAGAGTGAAACATCGTTAAAATGTGCTTTTATACAGATCACTTGTGCAACTGCATCACGCAATGTCACGCAATCCACAAATATGGACGCGCAAACGCAGCAAGATATTTCAGGCCAATTAATAATGAATGTTTATTACACAAGTGGGAGGAAACCGCAGAACCTGGAGAAAAACTCACGCGTGCGAAGGGGAAACATTCTATCCCATCCAGATAGGGCAAACGATAACAAGTCTGTACTTTGTTAAAGCGTCTTGTTATGGCTGCAATTTTTTTTATTTGTTACGAAGTCTCAAAAACAACGCTCATGATTACTTTGTGAGGTTAGCATGGAAGGGGGTCACAAAGAGAGAGAGGAGAGAAAGGAGACAGACAGCCACACCACCCCCCGCCTCCCCCCACCTTGAGCATCTGCTCATTCTCGGCCGCGAATAGCGAGACGGAGCCGAAGACGAGCTTGAAGAGCTTGAGGTAGAGGTTGGAGCGTTCCAGGTTGGATCCCATCTCGGGCAGACGCTCCAGCAGATACTCAACCAGGATGGTGGCAAACAGCGCCGATGTGCTGGGGTTTGCCAGGAATGAGTTGGCCACAATCTGTGCGTACATGGGTACCGGGGGGTAATGGTTATCGTCATCCAGTATTAGGAAGCCACTGAAGCTATGGACGTTGACATCTATATTGAAAACTCATTTCTTTAGAGAACTGATTTGTGTTTAGTTTGTTGTCCTTCCCGCGCGCCTCCGATTAGCACGGTTGGCTACGTAAGGTGTGAAAGAAGTTCAACATACAAACATACAGCAGCAGCCGCGATCAATCCACTGGGTATACTCTCAGACGCGTTACATTCCTTGGCCGCCAGCTCTGTTTTTATTTTCGCCCATCATCCTTTCTATTTTTCAAGATGTCAAAAACATGTGTTTTATATAAACGTGCATTTGGATTATTTGGCTGCGAGAAATTTCCGCATGATAACCACTTCGTTGAGTCATTATTTGTGGCCGGGTCCCTTCTGAAAAAAAGAGCTATAGAGCTCAGTGGGCCTTACCTGAAATATAAAATAAATAGTAAAAATGTGAATGTTCTCTGATCCATGCATTCTTCTTTTATTGTTCCATGTTTCTGAACCACATGTAACAGACTGAAGGGCACCCCCACTGTCAGCTGGCCCTGTGTGGCACAAAGTGACTCAGCAACGACCTGCAAGTGGGCATTAGTCTGCCAGTTAGCGGCGATGATTGTTGCTGTGTATAATCCCAATTGAGTCATTTTGTTCGGAGCTACATCAGTACACAGCACAGAAACATCAAGTGCCGATGCAGTCCCAATTTAGTGCCATGCTGTAAAGTAACGTCTGTAGCATCAGAGGAAATGGGAGCATTGCTTTAATGTTGTCCTGTTTACGTGTGGGTGAGGAGCCTAGATGCTCCGTTTCGGATCGTTTGGAATCTGCAAATGAGAGGGATATGCGAATGCTGGCGAGGGAAGAAGGGCTGACCTGCAGCGCGTAGTTCTTTGCGATGCGGTCCACCATGTAGGGAACCGTGGTCTGGAAGATCTCCTTGAAGGTCAGCGGGTTCATCATGGTGAACACTCCGGCAAAGTGCTCCAGCACCTCCTTCTCCTCCTTGATGCGCACCGTCTGCGAGTTGGCGGCTCGGATGTATGTCTGCCCGTTCACTCCCACCTGCACCTGTTACCCACAAACACAAAGTGAACTCGAGTAGATTACTCTTACAATGTGGATTTAATTAATGTCTACAGGGAAACACATATAATGAACTGTCAAATATTTGGTGTAACGGGTGGGGGTGGGATGGCCCATATTTAAGAAAAATACCGATAATGCAAAGCATGTTCAGATTTGGCCATGTTAAAAAACAGAGGCTTTCTTTATGGACCAGATTTTGCGAGCTCCTTAATGTGTGCAAGAGCAGGCCGAGGACAAACCTGGTAAATGTCGAGAGCCTGCATGGCATATTTCACCAGTTTGATAAATATCTGCGTCTCCTTCGGCTGAAACTGCTTGTGCACAGCGGTGGCATCTGACAAATTAAAAGAAAGGACAACAAACCACACGTTTTATCATTCATCCAAATACGACCCCATCCAGCCCTATGTCTAAACCAGATGTGGCCATTACTCGAACCCTAACAGACTTAGGCCTTGCCACAAGCCTCACAATGTTTTTCCTAAAAATACCAGACAGTCTCGCTCCCTTCACCTGATGAAGGCCGCTTGTGTTGTGGCCGAAACGTCGTGAGAATATTATTGTGTTATTTTATTTTATCAATTTATTATTTTATTCTCATTCTACGTGACTTTACCGAAAGAACCAAAGAAGACAAAGAAGAAGCATAGACCTCACCTTCATCGCAATCCTAGCAGTCACGAGCCTAGGCCCCAAGCTAAGCCTAACCAGTGCAGATCTACAACTTATTCTAGATCAAACAAGTGTAGACCTCACCCTAACCGTAACGTTAAACAATAACAGTCAAACTTATAACCCTGACATTCTGAGACGTCACTTCAACTCTAAACATGCGAGACATAACCCTAACCCAAGCATTAACAAGCCTGGGTTTTACCCTGACACTAATATGAGGATCGACAACCCGATACCCCTTTTCACCCCTTCACCACCACCACACGCCTAACACCGTCTCTGTTACCTCCGGGTGTCTTGCACGAACCGATGCCCCAGGTGATGGTCTTAACTCCGCACACCAGGGTCTTCACCAGGCCACGGCAGTCGCCCACGCAGAACGGCTGCTTGTCAGCTTGCTCCGTGGCACCTTGCGCCACTCTCTCACCACCGCCGCCGCCACTTCCCTGCGGCTGCTGCTGCTGCTGCGGCGTCGTCGTCACCGCCGCCCCCATGTGGTGCGATGTGGACGCGACGGAAGGCAGCGGTGGCCCCGGGCCACCGCCACCGCCGACCACCGCCCCGGGGGTCCCCGGTGTGGAGGGGCCCTGGGAGGACGTGGAGGGAGCCACCGACGTGGGTGTGGGGCAGGGGCTGGGGCTGGGACCGGGGCCCGGTGTGGCAGGCGCCATCATCTCCGAGCTGCCGGGCATGACCCCAATGAGCTCCGCCTGCGGTTTGCACTTCTTGAAGATGGCCGGCAGCTGGTACTTGGAGATTGTGTGGAATTTGAGCACGAACACCTGTTCACGGACGTTACGATGCAAGTCAGAGGCACGTTATAGTCATTTATAATTGCAGGGGAAAGACCCAATGGGTTTTTGAATCTGTTTAAAAAATGAAGGGGAATCAAAATTTTAGTTGGTTAAATCGACTTGGGTTGGGCACACTGGGGGCTTGCAATCCAGAAGTCGTGAGTTCGATTCAATCTCAAATTACCTCAAGGGATCTCATTTCATCGTCCGATTCGAAGTGGGCATTGCGTATTTCACAATCATTAACTCAAGACACCCCGCGCGCAGCTTTAACCAGGGAAGGCCGCTCGGCTCGAACCGCGGATCTCTGCCAACAAGCAGCAGAGGCGCCAAGCACTGGGCGGTGCCGCCACCCGACCTCTTCTGCCAGCAGCGGCACAGGGGGGTGGTGGGGGGGGGGGCTGAACGTTTCCTGCACCCCACCGGTAGCCAAGCGACACGATCGCGGCTCTACGAGGCCCACCACTTGCCTCCAGCATGCGCAGCAGCACCTCGCGGCCGTTGCCGCCCTCCTGTTCGCTGCGGGAGCGGATGCACTCCACGAGGTTGAGCAGCAGCTTGCACGACACCGTCTGGATGCTGCTGGGCAGAGTCTCGTCGTCGATGTTCCGTGAGAAGAGGCGCACGGCCAGTGCCAGCTCCGACAGCGGCAGGTGCTGGCGCACGTGGTGCACCAGGTCGGCGAGCGTGCTGTAGGCGAGCGGCCTGCGTGACGGACAAAGGCGACATTCAATTGGACGAGCATTCGGGTTATTGCGACGAGGTGTGGGTTTCACGCCTCTTATCATTATCCATCCACCAACCAAAAAGATCGTCCCGTTTACAAAGAAGCTATCAATAGCGCATCATCAGCAGTCAGGTGTGCACCTCCGATTAGCACGGTTGGCTATGTACGGTGCTAAAGAAGTTCAACATACATACGTACAACCAATGCTTGTATAATTTTCTATAGATTATTTAGGAAATTATGTAAAATGTTAGATTCGGGTCCAAAATTATATCATGCATAACACAAAATAATTAGCGTCATTGTGAACAATATAAGTGTCTCATACTGTATGCCGAAAGTTTATGTTGAAACTGGTCCAGAGTATGCTTGCATTGAACCAATGATGCTGACGTGACGTGTACAAAATACGTTTATGTTATTGAATTTGGAGAGATAGATATATGAATGAGAAGTATTGTCGGATTCTTTATTTTACTCATGAAAAACAATTCATGCAAGCAGCCGAATGCAGGATCCTGCTAAAACAAGTGTCTAAAAACTCGGCGAGGGTTTTCCCCCCGTGGTCTCGCATTGAACGCGCGACTCATTCCTCGCTCACCTGAGCGTCTCCCTGACCGTGTAGCCAGAACCGATGAGGATGGACTCGTCAAACAGCTTGTCCATCTGGGGGATGAATTCTGTCGGCGACGGGGCGGATCGGGAGAAGACAACGGAAAAATAATCAATAACGACGATGGGCTCTTAATCATTGGCCACAACGCAGAAGCCGAAGCAGCACCAATGACGGCATTTGCTAACATAGACAACGCCAAGTACTAGAATTTTACACAGCAGGCCTGATTGAAAGTTGAATAATTTCACTGCTTCATCATTCAATTGCACACAACTCAAACGGCGCTTGCTGCGTAGTTTCAATGTCTTTAGTTGCGTACACTTGAAGCGCCTTTCGTGAATCCACTACTGGATGAGGGCCTCCTCTTACACCCTTGTGGCTCATTGGGGGGAGGGGGGGTTATCTGTTGACTACACGTCACCTTGCCGGGTGGATGAAAGCGGGGACGTGTAGTCGTGGGAACGTAATACGGTGCAACGACGGAATTGACATGCCAAACCAACGTGAGCCAAAGCGTTGCACCGCGGGGTGTGCTTTCAACGGGCTTTCTCTGCCACGTACGGTTGCGCAGGTCCGTGGTGAGGATGTGCTTGGCGGCGATGAGGAGCTCCTTGCGCAGGTGAGCCGTCTCGGGTGGGCAGCCAGCGAGCAACTGAAGCATCCCCTTCACCATCTGCTGCGAGTACTTGCTCACCAGCTCCTGTGTTTGCATGAGAGGAGAGGAGACACGTATTTGTGTTCGCGTAAAAGCGTGACGGCGACGATGTGTGAACGGGCGACACCTATGTTTCCGCAGCCAATGATTACGATGCATAATTTTATTTCCGGGTTCGGCCACATGATGATCTGGCCAAAATTTGTGTCGTTCAGACCCTCCACTGCCCGACACAGCCAAACAAATTTAAATTGTCACGTGTACAAGCGTTTAATAACGCGCCAATTTATTATCGTTTAAGCTTGCTCACCAATAAGTGGAAAAATTTAATTGCAACCAAATATAGCATTCAGACTTCATTTTAAACTGCACCAAAGCATCTTCATAATTGGCAGATGCGTTTGTTGGAATTGTTGTTGCTGTCCGTATGGCCTTGTGGGCCTTTGGGCTTGCACTCAGAAACCCATGAGCTGCAAGCGAGCGTAAAACATAAATAACTAACAAACCTTGGCGCACCAATTATTTTCCAGCAGGGAACACAGCTGGTCAATATAAACCCTTGTTTACGCCTGAGTAAAAGTGCACCACTTCCTTTGTCCGAAAGCTCAGCGAGCGCCAGGTCCCGTACCTGATAGACTCGGATAATGTAAGCCAAGAAGGACAGCGTTTTGATCTGAGCTGCAATGAAGTCGGCGTACAGCTCCTTGTTAAACAGCTTGTTTTGCCTGGAACAAGAGCGAGAGAAAGATGAAAGAATGAGTGTCTTTGTCGGTGCACTGACGCAGGATTCACAGCTGATACAACCTGTACGCCCCAGCACAAGCCAAATCATCCACTGTGTTGGACAGAACGGCGCGTACTATTTCCAAGAGCGAGCATGACGCAGCAAGCTGGCAAGCCAGGGAATTGAGGGAGCCTCTTGTTGTGGGATTTAACCGCTTTAACAATTGCAATATTTGCGACTTTTCATTTGATGCAGTTGTTTTTTGCACCGATTTCTATTAGCCTCATTGCTGGATTTTTTTTTGCTTTTGTCATTTTGGTGACTCTTGCGAGTTGTCGCCTGGTTAAAACAAAATAAACACACCACGGCCACAAACGTCGTAGTTAGTATTTCCTAAGCAAAGCAGAATAAGCAGCTATCGGCTTTCCTTACAAACTCACTCACAATTGCTATTGTTGTATTTTAAACATTTATAAAGTGCAACAGACCACAACGAGGTTTCAGAGCGGTGTACAGTCCAACAAATTTCAACAAGCCACAAAACACACATACGTAAGAAATAACACACAGGGTTTTGTATATAAATATCATTGATAACATAACCCATGTAGAAATATTCTCATCTTCATTCCTGCCAATCCACTGCTGAATCAAGTCCTGCTCACACCGGGGTGTTGTTTTGACCATACTTCACCACACTGGTTAGTGCAGGTTGGTGAAGCGCGGGGGAGGGGGGGAGCCCAGGACTGTTTCAGATATCACTTGCCACTGAGGATAGCCATGAACAGAGAGCAAACTCGGCTCTTCGGTTTCCGAGCGCAGCATACGAACCACTGCACCAGCGCTCATCCCGTTGAATGATTGTACACAGCACAGAATTTATAATAACGTCTTAATAAGGACTTCAACTGGGTCAAGTATTTTTCTTCATTATTGTAGTACTGTAATACTGAATTATTACTCTCGTATTGAATTCTGTAATATAATGCGGATAACACTTCTATATAATATCAAATAGGCGTTCAACATAAAAAAAAATGTGATCGCTTTATTTGGAAATTTGTCACGTTAAGTGTACAGTTTTTATAAATATGCGTAACGTTAGGTCAACGCAGATGCATTTCACTCACTTTCAAAAAATTATTACTGCCCCCTCGTATTTTTTCCATCGGAGCGAGACCTTAATTATGTCAACCGTAAGCAAAACTCTCATTAGACAAACCATGACAAATATAAATGAGCGCACGACGCACGCACGCTCCTGAGTGCGCCTTCAGAACTCCGCTCTCTCTCCAGGGCCCCTTGCTTGACGTGACATCACCCTCCATTGTTACTCCCACTAATGAATAAGGAATGAGTGGATGCCTCATTTTCCCGCAGCTCCGCTGTCCAATCTGGCGACATGGTTACGGACTGCCGCATGCGTTTAAGCAGCACTTCCAGTAACAGCAATTACGACGACAACAGCAATACCATTGGCGGTGACATAGCTCGCGGCAATATTAGCGTCAGCGACATCAGTGTTGGCAGCAACAGCTACTTTGAGAAGCAACATCAACAGCAGCAGAAAAACATTAGCAACAGCAACATCGGCAGGGTACAGCAACAGGAAATTAGTAACAGCGATGTCAAAATCAACATCAGTCTTATTATAGCAAGAGCAGCAGCATCAGCAACATCAGCAACATCAGAAGCAATATCGTTATCAGTAGCAGCAGCACGTTGTGAGCATGTGTGCGGCATACTTGGCCTGCGGAGACACTTGCAGGGTGATGGTGCTCATGATGAGAGGGATGAACTCCGCGACCACATTGTGGATGCTCTGCTTGTACAGCTGCAACGGAGAGAACACACAATTGTCAAGGTGTAGGTCAAGGGGTCATCACAGCCAGTGTCGTTAATGCTACCAAACCGTGATAGAGCTTACTCTCACCGACCCTAGGGAGCCAACGCTTTTCAAGTCCCAACACGCATTTTTCCACGCTTTTCAGTTTTCGTTCCGTTTGTTTCATTAATGACCACGGTTGTTTCTGATCTATATGTCAGAGCAAGTAACAGTAACACACGCTCAATGAACATTTTCTTCTTTAGGCCACATCATTATGCTTACTTTTCATAACCACGTTCACCTTTACAAAAACAGTCCGACCCACTCTCGTCCTCACTATTCGTTCAATATATTAAACACAAAAGACAAGGATCTCCCGTATAGCCTTAACAGACTGTTAGGGCAAGTGCGTTAGCGAACACCTATGAAAGCCGGCATAGCACAAGAGGCGGGGGGGGGTAGCAGCATGCCCAGCCGGTTCACTTTTGTCTCCCCAGTGGCGATGTTTTACCACACCAGGTAATCATTTGAGGCTCAGTGGACCTAGGGGAGGCCCAGAACATGTTCAGATAATCATCACTGGTGTTGGCAATCGAACTCGGGCCACCAGTTTCAAAGTGCAGCGTATTAACCGCTACACTACCGCTCCCCACTATAACACAGGTGATTCATTACCTGGTACATTAACACGACGATGATGGGGAGTTCTGCCAGGACTTTGAGTGAGAGAGTGCCCTTCGGGATGAGCGTGTGCTGCACATCACGGACGAGGATAAATATTGATTAACATCGCAAAATCACCATCACGAAATGATAATCTCTGTATCGAAACGTCATCATCATTACTGTTTAACACACAACGCACAATGCAGGTCTCAAATGCACAAGCTCTAAATGCACGTTTGGAGATGTGTGTATTATTATGAACCAGTGACAGGCTTTAGAAGAGAAACAAGCCGACATGCCACTCCATTGATGGAGCCTCCATTCAGGTACTAACACCGTCACTCTACAACATCATGCAGAGTGACAGCGTTAGAACTAGCAGCTGGTTGGCAAGTTGGCTAGCATTAGGGTCAGCGAGAGGGCTAGTACTAGTGGCTGACTAGATAGCTGGTTAGGGATGGTGGTAGTGTTAGGGTCAGCAAGAGGGCTAGTATTCGTGGCTGGCTAGAGAGTTAGTTAGGGGTAGTGGAGGTGTTAGGGTCAGCTAGAGGGCTAGTGCTAGTAGCTAGCTAGCTAGCTCATTAGGGTTAGTGGTAGGGTTAGGGTTAGCGAGAAGGCTAGTACTCGTGGCTAGCTAGCTAGTTGGTAAGGCTGAGTGGGAGGGTTAGGGTCAACGAGAGTGCCAGTAAACTAAACTACTGAAACTATTTTTTATTTTACCAGGTAAGGCTCACTGAGCTATACGGTTATTTTTCACAAGTGACTTGTCCACAAATGATAGCTCAACGAAGTGGCTTATCAAGTGGAAATTTACAGCGGCCAAATACTCTAAACGCATATTGATTCTAAAATGTGGAGTGAAAAACCGGAGGACTCTGAGAAAAAACCACGCGACCACGGGGAGAACATGTAAACTCAAAATATACAGGCGTCAGGGTCGGAATCGAACCCACAAACCCACTACCTCCTGTATACCAAGCGAGGTAGTTAACATCCGGGCACTGTGACACCCTTAGTAGTAGTGGCTGGCTGGTTGGCTGGTTACAAGCGAGCTCCACACTCACCGTCCTGGTCTCGCTGTCCTCTCGCTCTGGGTTGACCTTCACTTGCACAGCCGTTACCATCCCAACCATCTCCTGAGACAAGGGAGCATTGTCCGGGATTGGCTGAGGGTTCTCGAAGTAGCGGTTCTGCAGGGTGAAGAGATTGGTGTTCGTTTACAACGCAGGAGCAATACACAAGCAATAAACATCCCACTTGCAGCCAGCCTTCAGTCAATATGCTCCTCCGATCTCATGTCAAACCACTCTACTACCACTGCTTCACAGAAATACACACACACACACACAAGTGCTGTTAGCAAGAACCTATGAAGGCCGGAATGGCACACGAGGGGGTGGGTGGCCAACACCACGCCCAGGATGCCTTTGTCTCCCTAGTGGTGATGTTTACACATCGCACGAGGTACTCATTTGCGGCTGAGTCGACCTAGGGGAGGCCCAGGACCGGTTCAGATAATCGTCACTGGCGTTGGCTGTGAGCGGGAATCGAACTCAGTGTGCCAGGTTCGTAGCGAAGCGCGCTAACCGCAACACTACCGCTCCCCACATATATACGCAAACAGATAAACATATTCACCACTTCACCCATATATGCTTATGGATAAAAGGGCTGTGGTATGACCTGACATGTGCCATTTGTGCCAAAACCTCCATGAGTCACGAACACTTACCACTACTTTGGGAAGATCCTTGTAGATTTGCTTCACAAAGTCCAGGAAATGGTGAATCTGCCCAAGGGATGATTGGAGACAAAATCATGAAACAAACATCGTACGAGACAAAGCACTTACGAAAAAAAGATCAGAATGTGTCCACGTCGAGGCTCCCCACTTACACCAACCCCCACTGACCAGCGTGGTGAAGTATGGTCAAATAACGAGCCGCAACAGATGCGTGGAGAGCCTCCGTTCGGCAGTGCATTGACAAAGCGCCTGCACGTGCAGACGACGCTGGGCGTACAAAGCGACAGCAACCCGGGCAAGACGTAACGAAAACAATCGCAAGCAAGCTGACCTCCTGCGTTATCTGCGGCCGGAACTGCTTGTGAAGCTCAATGATGACTCGCAGGCAGATGAGCACGTTTTCCTCGTTCTCCACCTGCAAGAGGGCAACCGCCAACGTGAGCACCGACGAAAGCGCAAATCGAGGGTGGGCACAACCGAGACGGACGCTAAGGACAGCGGTCAAAAGTTTTCTCCGACATTAAAAATCCACATTATCGTTGTTGTGTGTGTACGTATGCTGAACTTCTTTCGCACCGTACGCAGTCAACCGTGCTAATCGGAGGTGCTTCAGATGGGCAGAGGAGAGAGATGTTTTATGCTCTCTTTTGGAGACCATTTGAAGTAAACTCAACATACATTTAAAATGAAACTCACATTCATAAATAACATTGTGGCCTTAAAACGAACATCATAAATAAGAATATCATAAATAACAGTTGAGGATTCAGGCAAAGGCCCTTGTTGATTGTGCATAAAACAATTTGTATCGTAATTTAGCATCGTGAGGTGTGAAACGGGCACTGATGAATTTCCAGAGTTTATCATTAGCACAGGAGAGCCGGGTTCAACAGCATGGAGTGTTATGCAGGACAATGCATCGCACCTCCGATCAGCACGGTTGGCTACGTGCAGTGCGAAAGAAGTTCAACAAACATACATACAAAACACAATTTATACGCCACAATGAAGCCAGGAAAGTAACACGCGCATCAACACAGCCGGGTTGATCACCGACCATTCGTGACGGAGAGCACCAGAGGGACGATAACACAAGAGGCAAAAGGGGGGGGCAAACTTGACTGTGTCATCAATAACATTATGAGAGCTTTTTTTAAATTCATGAATGTCGAATTTTCAGTCAAGGCAACTGCATGCATGAGAGGACGGTGAGAACGTCATGGAACAAAATTTCAAGATGGGACCGAGACACAACGTCCGCCACTCCACTCACCTCCAGGAAGCGGAACATCAGCGAGAGGATGTTCTTCGCGTGGATGCGCAGGTGTTCGTTGGTTGGGATGCGGTGGACGATCTCCAACACCAGCTTTCGCAGTTGCTGTCGGAGCCAATGTGGGGAAAGTCGATGGTTTAATAATGCTTGTCACGCACCAGGAAGGCTGATGTACCTGCTTCACTCAACTAATATTGATGGACTTTTCAGCTGACTGGGCCAGGGCTCTCCGCTATTAGTCCAGCTAACCGAGGTTTTACTGTATCAGAGAAAATCCACGCGTGCGAGGACCATTCAATCAGAAGGAAATTAACCCAGTTGCTGTACTGCGTAAGCGGGCAAGCCAGGAGATGGCTACCTCATCGCCCACGGGGAGGAAGAGAGGATTCATGAAATTGTGTGATTCACCAACCCTGCGTGATTACAGGCCATGCGCAGCATAGCCACCAGCGCCCGGCTTTCAATTTGAAATTCGCCGACCCCGTGACCCACGCCTGTGCGGCTACGGCTGCTGACCAACACCGCTCCTCTATACACCCAGCATGAGGAAGGCACAGCCAAGCTCAGAGCAAAGCAGCATGATTCACAGGATCCCGTCAATGTATTCTGATCTCTTCAAACGTCGCCTCATGCTCCACTGACATCGCGACACCCACCGTGCTCTGAGCTGCCGCCTCACGACTACTCAACGATATCTCCCCGTGGCAGGCAGAAAAGGCCTCTCGTTAACAGTAACCATGCTGCAAACCCTACAATTGCTTGACCCACACTAGAGGAGGCTCTAGAGAGTCTCCTGTAGAGGGTATGTTGCCTCCTCTACCATGCTCGCCAGACATCTTTTGAGAGGTGCGAGTGCCCACACACAGTTTACATCGGTATACAAGACCTGCCAATCGATTAACTAGGGTGTACCCTCTTGATTTGCAGCTTTCGTGACTGCAGGAATCTAAACTTCGTAACGTATTATTTTTTCTACCTACGTGACTTTACCGAAAGAACCAAAAAGAATAGGGTGCACCCATTTATACTACCTGGGTGGACAGGTGGGATTTGCTATTGTTTCAACTGCCTTGCAGAGAAATGAAATCGAAAGGCGATCTGGATTGCAAGGCCAGTACACGAACCGTTACACTATGGCACCAATGTAGAGTAAATGCTCTGTTATTTGGCTTTTGGGTGCCAGTTCATCAAATATGCCGGTTATCTGAGCGTTATACTGATGGTTCGCCAAATTTTCCAAGTTCACATTTTTACGAAGATACAAGAAACAACATACTATTTTAACAGAGGTAGTCACCAGTCAGTTGCAGACCATTCTAAGTTAATTGTAGAGAAGCAGGGGGAGAGTTTAGAGTACAGTCTACAAAGTCATGATACTGTACAGCACAATCACAAATATGATCAATGGCGGATGGCCGGTGTTTACAATTGAGGCCGCCGCTAGCGACACCACATGGCACCGTCCTAAAGCTTCCGTAATCAACAGATCGATGAGAAGCGCACAGCAAAAAGCCAGATGGCTAAATTTCGATTTAAAGCTTTCGTGACTGCAAGGATTCATCTTCTTTGGTTCTTTCGGAAAAGTCACGTAGAATGAGAATAAAATAATAAATTGATAAAATAAAATAACACAATAAAATTCTCACGACGTTTCGGCCACAACACAAGCGGCCTTCATCAGGTGAAGGGACGAGACTGTCTGGAGGACAGCCAGATGGCTGTTGGTTAAGAGAGCATTCCGGATAGTAAAGTGCCAGATAACATAGCTTTTCCTGTATATATAATTAAATGTATTGTAAATAAAATATCCCTGCACACATGATTCAACGCATATATCCATGAGCACAAGCGAGCGTGAGAAACAACTTGCAACGATGAATCGTTCCGTCTTCACGAATAGGTGTTCGCTTAATCGGAGTGGGAGAACACCTGGTTGCTCACCTGGAGAGGTCTCTCCTGCAGGTGCTGCACCTCCCCATCCTGCAGGAAGGTGAGGAAGCGTGGGATCACGTGCTCCAGGAAGAATGGGTACTGTGGCGACGTCGTGACATTCTGCGTGCAAACACGCAGGAGCACAAGGAAGACGGGACTTTTCAGAGCAAGCCCTCGCTTAACGCGTGCTCACACACAACGCGTTTTCCCGCTATGATGCAGTTCTTATACGAGGGGACACTTTTCGCACAACGCAGAACATGCACTGTTATAAGGCGCTTTCTGAGCGGTCGATGACTAACTACTTTCGTGAGTTACACGGCTCAGCTGTATAGGAATTCTTGGTACTGTAAATACGAGGAATGATAGAGTACACGGTGTACCCATATCACCCCTCAACCCCCTACCCAACACCACAACACGCAACCATCACCTCAACAAAGTGGAATTTTGTTGCAATAAATAATCTTTTTTTATTATAATTGTTACATATAATATCTATATCCTTTCTTTCCCACCCCCCCATCCCTCAACTCAGATAGCATATGTAATGAGGCCCAAACACACGCACAGGCATTAAGATTATTATGGCTTGTTAAAAACATGAGTGGTAATGTATGCACTCCAGCTTATAGCGCTGATTAGTAGCTGGGGATTCCGTTGTTTATGATATCATTCTTTATTGATTGCTTACACCACAAAGCCATGGGGATGAGGAGTTATTCTTTGGTTCTTTCGGTAAAGTCACGTAAAAAGAAAAATAACTTAAATAATAGCATACGACGTTTCGATTGCAACACAAGCAATCATCATCCGGTACAAATGAAAGAGAAAACAAACCTAGTAAACTTAGAAATATAATGAAATATAATGGAATACAACACAGAGAGTATGTGATTAAGAGGAGAGGTGGATCTGGTTAGAGGAGCAGAATCCTGAGTATAAAGGTGGGGGGGGGGGGGGAGGGCTCTGGGCTCAGCGCTGCACAAACAGCCATGGTGAGGCTTTGTCTACCGGCTGCTGTGGAGGTCCTTCAAGGCCTGTGGAGGTCGTTATTTGTTATTTTAACAAGACAAAATGAATACAGAGTTCCTGTCTTCTGACCGGATTCCACATATATTTTTTTTTTTCAAAAAGAACACAACCCCGAACACAACCCCGACTTTTTGCATTACTTATGGGGAAATCGTGCTTTGCTTTACGCATTTTCGCTTAACGTGGGCACTTTTCAGGAAAGCGTAAACGAGGAAATAATGTACCGTACTTTTAAAAAGATAACGATAGAGGAAATCCAAATTGGAAGAAAGATGATAGACGTGGGTGCACTAGGGCAGAGGCTTGTGAGACATGCACAGAGGTAGTGAACCAGGCCATGAAGGACCGTGGGAGTGGATTTGCAGATGATGGCCCAGGAGAGGAATGAGCGGAAAAAAAGGACCACAAAGGCAGACCCCACCAACCCCCATCCTTCCCCCCATGAATGTAAATACCAAAATGAATAGAAATGTTTAAATATGTGCCTTAAAAATCGCCAGGTGGCTCAGCGACCTAATACCTTGTAAGATCACCTCAGTTGGCACGACTGAGATCCCATGCTGTCCCTCACTCATGTTCTAGAATAATTCAATTTGGACTCCTGCTATGAAGGTGAACAATAACACTTACCTCAAAGTTTTCACTGACTTCTTGCATAGCCTTCAACTTGGCCTCATCAGCTGCAAGAAAAAAAAACACAGGGTGTGAGAATAGTTTTCATCACCAGCAGTCTTCTCATAAGTTTGGTGTAAAACTCTTTGTGAGTTTAGAAGCAGTCAGATCTTATCAGTTTTCCTTCCACTGCCCGTTCACACGTGTGCAACATTAAAACAGAACCATATAAACAACACGTGTACATGAACAAACGTGAATACGTGTTACGCACAATTACAAAACAAATACACAACGTGTGAATTTTATTTTTGGGCTCAAGAAAAAAGTTTTTCATCATCCTGCTTCTATGCCAATGATGCCCCCCCCCCACCCTCTCTCGCCCTCCCGCACACTCACGGGTGTTGCTGTCGGTGAGCGAGTACGCCTGCTGGAGACATTTCTTGACGAGCGCTGCCTGGTCCAGCACGCTCGGCACAGGCGCCGCGAATACGGCAGCCATGGCTTCTCTCCGATCGCTCACGATGGACCCGCGAGGGCAGGTCTGGCGTGACAGAAAAGGATGGGCAAAGCGAGGCATGGTGTGTATGTTGAACTTCTTTTTGCACCGTATGTAGCCAACCGTGCTAATGTAACAGTTTTGAATCGCTTTCATATTTTTGTTCACCACCACTCAATAAATCTTGACTTAAAGCTTTCGTGACTGCAGGAATTCATACTCTTTGGGTCTTTCGGTAAAGTCACGTAGATAGAAAAATAATAGATGACGACGTTTCCATCGCAACACAGGCAATCGTCTTCAGGTGAGAGAGAGAAAGCTACTGAAACAAGGTCTTGTATAGGCCTGAGATGGATGCAGCCCCAGGGTAAGAGGGCGGGGCTAGAGAGGGTCTCCCTGAGACCTTGTTTCCATTCACTGGCAAGACAATCTCAGCTGTACTTAATTCAGCTCACTTGGTTTCTATAATTAAAGACATCTCACTATCTCCAGGTGATTAGCTTGTTAGTTTTTGATGTGGTCTCTCTGTTCACCAAAGTTACTGTGCCTGAAACCATTGCGATCATTGAAAATTTGGTCCAACAAGGACTGAATGCTGATGTACCAACCCTAGTGAGACACTGCCTTACCAACACTTACTTCACCTGGAACGGTACATCCTACAAACAAAATGAAGGTACCCCAATGGGTTCTCCCTTATCGCCAGTGGTAGCCAATGTTTTCATGGAAAAATTTAAGACAGATGCCATCCAGGCATCTACCCTACGTCCTTCCTTGTGGAAGAGATACGTAGCTGACACGTTCGTCATCTGGCCACATGGCCCGCTAGCACTGAACCAATTCTTCAACCACCTAACTTCCATACACCCAGCCATCAAATTCACCATGGAAGTGGAAAAGGATGGCAAGTTACCATTCTCGGATGTTTTAATCGAAAACAGACCAGATGGCTCATTGGGACACTGTCAACAGGAAAGCCACACACACGGATGCCTATCTAAAACTTGACTCCCACCACCATCCAGCCCAGAAGAATTCCCTCATCAAAACCCTACACCATCTCCGTCCAGCACCACCTAGCCAGTGAACTGGACTACGTACACCAAGCCCTCATGATGAATGGATATTCGGACCGCACAATCCGCAAAGCTGTCACCCCAACCGTGGGGAGAGAACCATCTGAGGACCCAATCAAAACCATCACCTTGCCATACATAACAGGGGTCACCAAAAATATTTCCAAAATCATGAACAAACACAAGATCCAGGTTCGATTCAACACAGTACATAAAATTCGTGATCTGATCCCATCTGTTAAGGATGCGATCCCTAACATGCAATACCCCGGTGTCTATAAACTAAGCTGTGTCTGTGGCAGTAGTTACATTGGGGAAACTAAGCGACATGTCTCGGGCCGTGTTCGTGAACACAAGGCAGATCTGAAACACGGTAGGACCAATACCTCGGCAATGGCTGATCATTGTTTTAACGCTGTGGGCTCACGCAAAATAGATTTTTCCAAGACGAAGGTACTCGGCAAACCCACTAGCTATCATAAAAGATGTGTTCATGAAGCCATCCAGATATATAAACACAGCCACAATTTCAACCGAAAAGATGGGTACAAATTGAGCAATCATTGGAAGGACGTGATTAACCAGGTAAATCATGGGACCTCCTTTGCCAGTACCAAAATATGAGAATAGGTTTTCCCCTTTTGGCGTCCTCTGGCCTAACACCGTTTTGAGACTAGGCTCAAAAGAAAGCTGTTTCTGGTGTGGACCAATCAGTTTCAAAGACAATGCATATATTATCAGAGTATGTTTTTTTTGTTTGCATTCTGACCGCAAGTATTGTGATTAATGCAGACACGATTCCTTGTAAAAGGTTTCAGTTTGGTGTTTTAACATCTCAACACCTGTTTTGTTGCCAAACAAGATGGGAAAAACTATTATCATAACCAGGTAAAGTCTTAACCTGCTGTGATGTTTCCATCCTTCCTGCCGATGTTAGCCAACTCTCTGAGTTGCATTACTAGGTTGGATGTCTTTGTATTGACAGGCTGGATGTCCTACTCAGTCACCGATGCAAGGACATACAAGGCAAGTCACCGATGCATCGACATACTAAGCTCGTACATTGACATGCTAATCTCTCAATACAATGGCCACTTCCAGAGCCTCAGGGATACCATCTCTAGCCCTGCCCTCTTACCCTGAGGCTGCACCCATCTCAGGCCAATATAAGACCTTGTTTCAGTAGCGTTCTCTCTCACCTGAAGACGATTGCTTGTGTTGCGATCAAAACGTCGTGATTTATTACTTTTCTATCTACGTGACTTTACCGAAAGATCTAAAGAGCACCACTTGCTTTCGGAAGAATACGATAATTGCCTAGATGATGACTTCCCAACTTGTGGAAGATATCAAGTGCGCAAATTGGACTTTTAATATAATAACAAAATATTATTTCAAATGTTGCAGGTCCTGTATAGATTATTGCAATGCAAGATCATGAGGTTGTGGATGAGGGTGAGGCCATCATCTAGCAGTGGATAGATCGTGGAGGATGATGATGACGACTAAAATAAAGTCTACTACCAAATCACTCGGGGTAAGCCCAAACTTGTCAGATCTCAGAAGCAAAGCTAGATTTAATCTGAAGAGTGCACGGATGGGCGACCAACATACACAAAACACGTGTCAGAATCAGAAATCTTTAGACTGGAGAAATCCTATGAGTTATGAAGCTCTTTTGCACAGATGTCCAGTATTTGACAGATGTCCAGTGTTACTGGACACAGATGTCCAGTGTTATAGGATGCTGCGGGGCTACGTTGTCAGCAGAAGGTAGTGCAGAAAAAATAGCGTTGGAGTGTACTATTCTCCCACGTCTATGCTCCCCACACCTTCACACACTGACCAGCGTGGTGCAGTATGGTCAAATAACAACACGGCGTGGGCAGGCCTTTATCCAGCAGTGGATTGACAGAAAGGGTTGTATACACATGTACAATGCACAGTTCTAATAACTACTACGGCATTTGAAAACAATGTCCGGCCGTGGAAATTCCGCATTACAGTAAGCGGGTCCGTAATCAATCTTGATTTGAAGCTGTCGTGACTGCAGGAATCCATACTCATTGGTTCTTTCGGTAAAGTCACGTAGGTAGAAAAATTAATAGATCACGACGTTTCGATCGCAACACAAACAATCGTCATCAGGTGGGTCCGGTCACAAAGTTCAACCGATTGTCCAATACACACACACGCCTACATAAACACTGCAATAAGGTTAGGGGTGATTATTATTAGTACATTTCTAAACGCAGTACAACGTCCGTCGTAAATCTAATGATTTTAAACGCAGTCCCATTGACTAGACCAGCACGAAGGCCCCCCCATCTCTCTCTCTACCGTAAACCATCACCACACCAAGGCTTACCTCAAATGCGAGCAGCTATTCCCGGCTCTCCTTCCCCACCCACCCCACAACTTCAGCACACCAATGAATACATCGTGCGCACGTTTATTTTGTTGACGTTGCGAGTCGTGGGAGGAAATGGGGTGGGGGGAAAAGAAAGAGTTTATCGCCCAGCGAGAAACAGCGACTCGCCAAGGCGGCGTTGCGGGCGAGTTGAGGACTCGCGGCCCAGGCGATGCCTCGCCGGAAGTCGCGCGCCTCGACTTCCGGTCGGCTCACCTCGCGGCGATGGAGGAAGGGGGGGCGTGGCGTTTGCGAAAAATAAATAAAAACTCGATGCGTTAAATTTGTAAATGAATGTTAGGCGACGTTTCGGGCAACGGCCGCATTCTTCGTGGCGCAAGCATCGTTAAGGATAAATACAAGAGCAAAAACCCATGCGATACGAATCTGATTTAAGTTAACGCAATCGATTCCCGTAGTAAGCACACGAGTGGAATCGATGCTCCAGTGTATCGTAATATGTTCGATTCTTACGTGTTAGTGAGAGAATAACGAGGCGTGTGGAATCGATGTTGCGAATCGATATGTTCGATTCCTATGTACGCCACTGTGATCTATGTAAATTGGCGTCCCGTGGTAATGCTGGTAGATTCTAGATTTAAAGCTTTCGTGACTGCTAGGATCCATACTCTTTGGTTCTATTGGGTAAAGTCACGTAGGTGAAAATAAAATAACAAAAAATCACGACGTTTCGGCCACAACACAAGCGGCCTTCATCAGGTGAAGGGACGAGACTGTCTGGAGGACAGCGCTGGAGTGGAAGAAGCCACGCTTAGATCACGACCTTTAAGCTGTGTGAGAAGAAAACAAAGCGCCTTGACAAAGGAATTAGCATAGAATTTAGCATTGAAATGGCTCATTGAAATAGCTAAGTTAAAGTATACACATCCGCAGAGGCACCCCTTGACAAAGGAATTAGCATAGAATTTAGCATTGAAATAGCTGCGTGATTAGCTTGTAACTTGTCACAGAAATAGCTATGTTAAAGTAAGAGCATATACATTCACCGAGGCACCTAGTACTAATCAAACAGGAGAATTTAGCGAAACACAACCACGCTCAGACCGCGGACCTTTAAACTGTGCGAGCAAACAAGGTGTTCTGACAAAGAAATTAGCATAAAAATTAGCATTTGATTGGCCGATTTTAGGAAAGAGGTGGTGTACGTGCCGGTGGACTTGCCGTTTGGCGCTGGGGGGGAGGGGGGGGGAGGGGGAGTTTACCTATTGATGGTGTGAAAAGGGAATTTATAAGAGCTGCGAAAGTTTGGGGTACCACTACTTGAAAAATATACTGTACCATTGAAATTAGTTTAATGTTTAGTTCGATTTAGAACATCTTTCCAATGGTTGCTTAATTTGAAACCATCTCGGTTGAAATTGTGTCTGTGTTTGTAGATCTGAATTGCCTCATGAACAAATCTCTGATAAAAACCCGTGGGTTTGCAAAGAACCTTGGTATCGGAGAAAATTATATCGTGATCCCCCACAGCGTTGTAACAGTGATCAGCCACGGCAGAAGAATTCGTTTTGCCGTGTTTCAAATCTGATTTGTGCTCGCGAATTCGGTCAGAGACATGTCGCTTTGTCTCCCCGATATAGCAATCACCACAGGTACAACTCAATTTGTAAACCCCGGGGTACTGTAAGTCAGGAATGACATCCTTCACGGATGGGATCAGATCACGAATTTTGTGTACTGTATTGAACCGGACCTGGATCTTGTGTTTGTTTAGAATTTTGGAAATCTTTTTAGTAACGCCTGCTATATATGGTAGTGTGATGGTTTTGACCGGAGTATCAAGTGGTTGTTTCTGTATGGAGGGAGAAACAGCTTGGCGGATGGTACAGTCAGAGTAACCATTCCTTTTGAGGGCCAGGTGTACATGTTTTAATTCACTGGTCAGGTGGTGTTGGTCCGAAATGCAATGAGCCCTATGGTATAAAGTTTTGATGAGATAATTCTTTTGGGCTGGGTGGTGGTGGGAATCAGGTTTCAAGTAGGAATCTGTGTTGGTGGGTTTCCTGTAGACAGAATGCCCCAATCAGCCATCAGGTCTCCTCTCAAACAGAACATCTAAGAATGGTAGCTTGCCATCTTTCTCCACTTCCATGGTGAATTTGATGGCGGGATGTCTGGAATTGATGTGGTGTAGGAAAAGGTTCAGAGCTGGGAGGCCATGTGGCCAAATGACGAAAGTGTCATCCACATATCTCTTCCACAGGGAAGGTCTGAGGGTGGAAGTCTAGATGGCGTCTGATTCAAATTTCTCCATGAAAATATTGGCTATCACTGGTGATAAGGGGGATCCCATGGGGGTACCCTAATTTTGTTTGTAGAAGGAGCCATTCCAAGTAACGTAGGTATTGTTGAGGCAGTGCCTAACCAGTGCAGGTGTGTCGGGGTCTAGTCCATGTTGGACCAAATTTTCAATTATTTCAATGGTATCAATTATTTCAATGGTATCAGTACCTAATACCATTGAAATAATTGAAAATTTGGTCCAACATGGACTAGACCCCGACACACCTGCACTGGTTAGGCACTGCCTCAACAATACCTACTTTACTTGGAATGGCTCCTTCTACAAACAAAATTAGGGTACCCCCATGGGATCCCCCTTATCACCAGTGATAGCCAATATTTTCATGGAGAAATTTGAATCAGACGCCATCCAGACTTCCACTCTCAGACCTTCCTTGTGGAAGAGATATGTGGATGACACTTTCGTCATTTGGCCACATGGCCTCCCAGCTCTGAACCTTTTCCTACACCACATCAATTCCAGACATCCCGCCATCAAATTCACCATGGAAGTGGAGAAAGATGGCAAGCTACCATTCTTAGATGTTCTGTTTGAGAGGAGACCTGATGGCTCATTGGGGCATTCTGTCTACAGGAAACCCACCCACACAGATTCCTACTTGAAACCTGATTCCCACCACCACCCAGCCCAAAAGAATTATCTCATCAAAACTTTATACCATAGGGCTCATTGCATTTCGGACCAACACCACCTGACCAGTGAATTAAAACATGTACACCTGGCCCTCAAAAGGAATGGTTACTCTGACTGTACCATCCGCCAAGCTGTTTCTCCCTCCATACAGAAACAACCACTTGATACTCCGGTCAAAACCATCACACTACCATATATAACAGGCGTTACTAAAAAGATTTCCAAAATTCTAAACAAACACAAGATCCAGGTCCGGTTCAATACAGTACACAAAATTCGTGATCTGATCCCATCCGTGAAGGATGTCATTCCTGACTTACAGTACCCCGGGGTTTACAAATTGAGTTGTACCTGCGGTGATTGCTATATCGGGGAGACAAAGCGACATGTCTCTGACCGAATTCGCAAGCACAAATCAGATTTGAAACACGGCAAAACGAATTCTCCTGCCGTGGCTGATCACTGTTACAACGCTGTGGGGATCACGATATAATTTTCTCCGATACCAAGGTTCTTTGCAAACCCACGGGTTTTTATCAGGGATTTGTTCATGAGGCAATTCAGATCTACAAACACAGACACAATTTCAACCGAGAAGATGGTTTCAAATTAAGCAACCATTGGAAAGATATTCTTAGTTTTTTCGGTAAAGTCACGTTGAAGAGAAACAACAAAATAACAAAATATATATAAAACAATAAAAATTTTCACGACGTTTCGACCATAACTCAAACGGTCATCATCAGGTGTGTTGTTATTTTGTTGTTTCTCTTCAACGTGACTTTACCGAAAAAACTAAGAATATGAATTACTGCAGTCACGAAAGCTTTAAATCATTGGAAAGATGTTCTAAATCGAACTAAACATTAAACTAATTTCAATGGTACAGCATATTTTTCAAGTAGTGGTACCCCAAACTTTCGCAGCTCTTATAAATTCCCTTTTCACACCATCAATAGGTAAACTCCCCCCCCCCCCCCCCCGCGCCAAACGGCAAATTCACCGGCACGTACAGCACCTCTTTTCTAAAATCGGCCAATCAAATGCTAATTTTTATGCTAATTTCTTTGTCAGAACACCTTGTTTGCTCGCACACAGTTTAAAGGTCCGCGGTCTGAGCGTGGTTGTGTTTCGCTAAATTCTCCTGTTTGATTAGTACTAGGTGCCTCGGTGAATGTATATGCTCTGACTTTAACTTAGCTATTTCTGTGACCAGTTACAAGCTAATCACTCAGCTATTTCAATGCTAAATTCTATGCTAATTCCTTTGTCAAGGGTTGCCTCTGCGGATGTGTATACTTTAACTTAGCTATTTCAATGAGCCATTTCAATGCTAAAATATATGCTAATTCCTTTGTCAAGGCCCTTTGTTTTCTTCTCACACAGCTTAAAGGTCGTGATCTAAGTGTGGCTTTTCTCACTCCAGCGCTGTCCTCCAGACAGTCTCGTCCCTTCACCTGATGAAGGCCGCTTGTGTTGTGGCCAAAACGTCGTGATTTTTTGTTATTTTATTTTCACCTACGTGACTTTACCCAATAGAACCAAAGAGAATGCTGGTAGAGTCACCACAGCAACACAACCCGCCTTGCGATGTTAAATAGCCGACGTTTCGGGCAATGGCACCTTACTCTTTGGTTTTATTCGGTAAAGTCACGTAGATAAAATAAAACAAAATAATTAAATCACGACGTTTCGGAGGCAACACAAGCTTCCGTCTTCAGGTGGAAAAGTCAACGCAGAATATCTGTGTTAGGAGCACAGTTCAAAGACGACCTTGGATTATATACAGGTGAAGGCAGGGGGGAGGAGTCAGTAAGGGGGCGTGGGTGGGTGGGAGTGCTGAGCTAAGCAGCCTTTTGATAGGCTGCTGCAGGTAACACCTACTTCTCAAAGCTCACATCAAAAGGCCCCCCCCCCCCCCCCCCCCCGATGTGGACTCACATCAACGGGTCCCCCGGTGCGAGCTCACATCATGTCCTCCCCCCTCCCTTAACCTGTATATAATCCAAGGTCGTCTCTGAACTGTGCTCCTAACAGATATTCTGCGTTGACTTTTCCACCTGAAAACGGAAGCTTGCGTTGCCTCCGAAACGTCGTGATTTAATTATTTTCTATTATTTTGTTTTATTTAATCTACGTGACTTTACCGAATAAAACCAAAGAGTATGAATCCTTGCAGTCACGAAAGCTTCAAATCTACAATGGCACCTTCACAGCACAACAATCAACCACGTTATCATACCTGGCAACCCTACC